AAAGGTCAAGGTCTGGGGCAACCTGGTGACGGTGGAGTGGGCCGACCCCATCGAAGACCCCGACCCGGAGGTTATGGCGAAAGTGAGTCAAATCCCAAATCTCAACAGGCGAGACGAAGACGAGGTTCGACCAGGAGCTGCAGGAAGGCAGCGATGGAGGCTGAGGAGGCCCAAAAACTCCTGATACCTGCTGACATGAGCTCACCTGATCGGATCCACTGGCTACATTAGCTACAGCTAGCAGCATTACAAAGAGCTAGCATTAACAAGAGCTAATGCCATTAGCAAAAAATAACTGTCCTGTCTGGATGGAGCTAGCTTCATAACACCTAGCATACATCACCTACCCAGGATGCTTTGCATCTGTGTGACAAAATGAGATTTATATTTATAAAAACATCTGGTAATAAATGTCACCAGTTTTCCTCTGGAATTATTACATAAACGTCAGCTTATTTCACAGTAATATTCAAGTCGTAATGGTCTTAAAGCAGTTTGAAACTTAAAGAAACCACTGCCTAAGCAAAGGTTGATCGAAGAATTCTGCTGTAAAGTTGGGTGGAAGGAAGAACAGACTGAAGATTCGGACATTGTCTCTGCAGGTTAAGGTCCTGTTTGTGAGGAACCTGGCCAATGGCGTCACAGAGGAGATCCTGGAGAAATCCTTCAGCCAGTTTGGGAAGCTGGAGCGAGTGAAGAAGCTCAAAGACTACGCCTTCGTCCACTTCGAGGAGCGGGACGGCGCCGTGAAGGTACCGGCCACGCCCCGGGCGTACGCTTTCCGTGGCCCATTGGATGGCTGAATGAACCTCTGGTCCTCCTGCAGGCGCTGGAAGAGCTGAATGGGACGGAGCTAGAGGGAGAACCCATCGAAATAGTTTTTGCCAAACCGCCTGATCAGAAAAGGAAGGAGAGGAAAGCCCAGAGACAAGCTGCCAAGTCCCAAATGTAAGACAGGTCCCGGGTCATGTGATTTGGCACCATAATTTAGTACCTCCAGGTCCGGTTCTGAGTTCCTAAGGGATTCCAGCTTAGTAACTGTCTGTTACTACACTTTAGAAACAGACAGTAATAAACAGTTATTAACAGCAATACATAACAGTAATAAACAGTTATTAACAGCAATACATAACAGTAATAAACAGTTATTAACAGCAACACATAACAGTAATAAACAGTTATTAACAGCAACACATAACAGTAATAAACAGTTATTAACAGCAATACATAACAGTAATAAACAGTTATTAACAGCAATACATAACAGTAATAAACAGTTATTAACAGCAATACATAACAGTAATAAACAGTTATTAACAGCAATACATAACAGTAATAAACAGTTATTAACAGCAACACATAACAGTAATAAACAGTTATTAACAGCAATACATAACAGTAATAAACAGTTATTAACAGCAATACATAACAGTAATAAACAGTTATAATAAACTGTAAAGCAAATGATGAACAGTAAAACTTGTAATAAGCAGTGACAGTAATTTAGACAGCGATAAATGATTATAAGCTGCTTAAATCAAACTATTCCCTCCTCAGTCAGGAGGATGTCTGATTGGTCCGTTCACCCTGATGCAAAATGACAGGAAGTGAGTGATTCCTTTCTAACTGGAGACCTTTAGAACCTTCTCTGGACCTCCAGCGGTTCTGGTTGAACCGGTTCTGGTCAGGATGGGTTCCATGCTGACTGGTCTCTGTGTGACCTTTGCCTTTTCTGCCTCCTGCAGGTATGATGATTATTACTACTACTCGCCGCAGCCCCACATGCCCCCCCCTACCAGGGGGCGGGGCCGCGGCGGCCGGGGGGGCTACGGCTTCCCTCAGGACTACTACAGCTACGAGGACTACTACGACTACTATGGCTACGACTACCACAACTACCGCGGCGGCTACGACGACCCCTACTACGGCTACGACGACTTCCAGGCCCCGGGCCGGGGGCGGGGCGGCGCTCGGGGCCTGAGGGGCGGAGCCTCGCCGGTCAGAGGTCGAGGCGGCGCCGGGGCGCCCCGAGGCCGGGCAGGCTTCTCGCAGCGCGGCGTCGGGCCCGGGCCGGGCCGTGGCGGGCGCGGACCAAGAGGAAGCGTGGCGGCACGCGGGCGCGGCGGGGTACGTGGTGCGCGGGGCGGCCGCGGTGGAAATGTGGGAGGAAAGCGGAAAGCTGACGGCTACAGCCAGCCAGATTCCAAGCGCCGCCAGACCAATAGTCAGAACTGGGGCTCCCAACCCATTGTTCAGCAGCCGCTCCATGGCGGGGACCATGCTGGTAACTATTCCGGGTACAAATCTGACAACCAGGAATTTTATCAGGATTCTTTTGGGCAGCAGTGGAAGTGAAACCAGTGAAACCAGTGAAACCAGTAGCGCTCTAAAACAAACCCACTTCTGGTTACAGACTCGGTCTGATTGGTTGCCTGCAGGTTTTCCTCCAAATTGGTGACATCTGGCAAGATCTGTGTACATATTTTAAAATCAGCTTGGACTCCAAACATAACCCCACCCCCACCTGTTTCTGGCGAACTGCTCTTCTTCTTCCCTTTGTTTTAAAGGCCGTTTTTTAGAGGCAGATTTGTGCTGCGGCTCAAGCTTTCTGTATGTTTTTACACACTCTGGTTTCCATGTTTTCAGTAGCTAACAGCAACAAAGCATTTGTCTCCTAAACATGTATTTAAAGCGGTGAAATGACGATTTGTATTGCGTGTGTTGTTCCTGAGAAGAACCAGAGGACCCAGCAGTCCTGTTCGGCTTGTATTCTCTGCTGTTTGTCTGCTTTAATAAACATACACACACTCGTGTACAAAAACTACTTCAAATTGTGTTAAATTCATGTTTGGGCAAATTCTCTCTTCAAATTTCCTTCAAATTTAAGGCTCCTTGTGGAAGAAATGGACTGAAGGTTTGCCAGTGTTGGCCCCGTGCTCCAGCGTCACCTTGCATGCCATCAGATCCCAGATCACCTACTTCTGTATGTGTAGTGACATACTCCATCCTTATCAGTTCCTCTCATGTCCAAAAACATAAATGTCTCACAAATTGGTGTCCTAAATTCACTGGACGCAGCATCAACAGCTGAGGGGGGGAGTCGAAGCACAATTTGATTTTAGTGTCAGAGCGAAGCTTTTCTTGACCCAGAAGGATCTTCCTCACTGTTTCCCTGCTGGATTCTAACTGCAGTGGTGGGACCGCTAACCCACAAGCTAGCTGCGCTAAGACAGACATTAGCCACTGCAGCCGTCGAGCATCGACTTAATTTCGACATTTTCTGGAATGCGCTTAACTTTGCTTTTTATTCAACTTCATTATTGGTATTTGGTGACTAAATTCATAATAATCCAAGAATAAAGTTGTAATATACGTCAGTCAAAGTAATAAAAAGGATGTAATTATGCAATGAAGTCCAATGAGAATAAATTGTAACATTACCAAAATAAATTTGTGCTAACTAGTTGTAATATTGTGGCAAAGGAAAACAATTGTAATGTTGCCAGAATTCATAATAATTTAAGAAAGTCGCAATATTACGAGATAAAGTTTGAAGATGAGAACTGAAGAGAATAAATTTGATTTCTGAGAATTAAACAAGAATAAAGTCACAATTCGCAAAAAAGTTTTTTATAAAAAAAAGTCATGGAACACAATAAATTCGTAATGAGAGAATTCGCAATAATACCATAGTAATGTCAAGCTAACCCTTGCTACTTGTTTTTAAAGTTTACTAAAACGCTAAGCTAATAGTTAGCACCGCTATTAGCGCATTAGCGGACCCACCACTGCTAAGCCTGCATGTGCTGCTGCTTCTTTGCATGACTCACCTGACCGCCGATCTATCCAGTCTAGCTCTAAGGCTGCTCACCTGTCTGCTAGCGCGTCCTGCTAGCTGCTAGCGTGTCCTGCTAGCTGCTAGCGCGTCCTGCTAGCTGCTAGCGCGTCCTGCTAGCTGCTAGCGCGTCCTGCTAGCTGCTAGCGCGTCCTGCTAGCTGCTAGCGCGTCCTGCTAGCTGCTAGCGCGTCCTGCTAGCTGCTAGCGCGTCCTGCTAGCTGCTAGCGCGTCCTGCTAGCTGCTAGCGCGTCCTGCTAGCTGCTAGCGCGTTCTGCTAGCTGCTAGCGCGTCGTTTGCATTAACACGTGCATGCTCTGTCAGGCTGTGAATGCTTCCTGCTGCAGCAGATGATGACTAGATGTGACGCGTTTCGTTTCCGTCTCTAATTCTTCCTTTTGTTACCCGACTAGCTGGAAAAAGGTCCGGAGGTCGCCGCTGACGAGTCGCTGTGAGGCCGGGCCGGGCGGCGCCCCCTGCTGGAGGGAACAACGGTAAGGTTGGCTGACCCAGAGGAACCTCCGGCGCTGGACGGGATCCTTCTGGACCGAGCTGCGCCGCCAGCTTGGAGCGAACTCTGGTTTCTCGATGATCTGGGATCCGCGCAGAGCCGTTCCAGCCGACCGCTAACTACCTCAGAGGAGCCAGAGTCCGGACCGGCCCAGGCCTCCGGTTCTGACCCAGAGGACGGGACCCAACGGACCCCTGCGTGGAGTCCATCATCAGGCGCCAAGCAGAAGTTAGTCAAACATGTTTATCAGAGCCGCCGCGAATGGACCCGGATCTCCATCAGAGCAGCGCAAACGAGAATATTTAGCTAATCTGGCTGAAATTCAGCGACTAAAAGTTCTGGCTTCTCCCAAAGAAGATAAAATTACCCCGAAATCATGGCTGGTTTCATTTACGCCAGAATAAAAGTATACGCTGGGGCTAAAAGCGCTAAACGCTGGGGCTAAAAGTGCTAAACGCTGGGCTAAGAGCACTAGACAATGGGGCTAACAGCGCTAAACGCTGGGCTAAGAGCACTAAACAATGGGGCTAACAGCACTAAACGATGGGGCTAAGAGCGCTAAATGCTGGGGCTCAGAGCGTTAATCGCTGGGCTAAGAGCACTAAACAATGGGGCTAACAGCGCTAAATGCTGGGGCAAACAGCGCTAAACGCTGGGGCTAAGAGCGTTAAACGCTGGGCTAAGAGCACTAAACAATATGGCTAAGAGCGCTAAATGATGGGCTAAGAGCGCTAAACGCTGGGCTAAGAGCGCTAAACGCTGGGGCAAAGAGTGCTAAACACTGGGGCTAAGAGCGCTAAACGCTGGGCTAAGAGCACTAAGACTCTGGAGCTAAGACGGTGGAGCAAAGAGAGCTGAACGCTGGGGATAAGAACGCTAAACGCTCCAGCAAGGAACGCTAAATGCTGGAGCTAAGAGCGCTAAACATTGTAGCTAAGAACGCTAAGTGCTGGATCTAAGGTCACTAAACTGGACCTAGGAGCGCTAAGCGCTGGAGCTAAGAGCGCTAAACGATGTTCAAGTTAGCTAAAGCTAAGAGCTAGCATGGCTGTTAGCATCATGTACTTATTCAACGTGCTTAAAAAGCAAATTATCTGACATCGTTATATTTTTCACCTAAATGTAAAATAAATTTACCAAGTGAATTATTTTTAAATCCGTTTCCTGACATCAGAAACTGATCAAATTTTAACGGATTTCAACAAAATCACAGAAAAGCTCCATTTTCTGATTTTGATTTCTGACCCTGAATGCCTCATTAGCTCAGCTCTGGAACTGGACCGGTGGTCAGAACCAGGTTGTGGTTCCTGATGATCTGGCTCCACTCTGCTGGTTCCTCGGCTGAGGATGGGGTTGCAGCTTGAAGGTCGTCGGGTTCATTAGGTTCTGTTCCAGAGCGGTCATACGACCCAACCCAGAGACTCGGTTCCGATCCAGAGCCAGAAGCGTTTGGGTCAGAAAGCTGGCCTGGCTCAGAGGTGAAAGGCATTGTGGGAGATGTAGTCGAGCACAGGATCACGTTGCTGCTTTTCTGCCGTTAAACAGAATCTGGACTGAGGTTCTGGTCGGATTCTGAGATGATGAGCTGCTTTCAGAGAGTTGTGTGTGTGTGTGTGTGTGTGTGTGTGTGTGTGTGTGTGTGTGTGTGTGCGCGCCCCTGCAGATTAAATGTTTTCTACTGTACATGATAAACTTATTTTTCTAATAAACTTGTTAAGTCAGTTTGGTGTGTTTGTATTTTTTTTTTAAATTTCATCTCAATCTGAAGGAAAATTTTAAATATTCATTTTATAAAAATGAAGAAAAAGTTTGCGAGAAACTAAAAACCATCAGCAAGACGATCAGAACCAAACAGGCCCAGAAAGGTTCTGGATTGCTCAGCAGAAAGAACGTTTCCATTGCGGCTCATCCTGTAACGGTCACAGATCAACAAGACAGACCAGAACCTCTGCTGACCCAGATCTGTCTCAGGACCCTGGACCTGTTGGAACCTGCTGGTTCTGTTGCATCATGGCTGCAGTCAGACATGGCGGTGGGAGAGTCATGCTGAGGACTGTAATCAAGAGGTACTGCTTGTGCCAGAACAACGACCCAAAGCTCATCAGAGAGTCCACTCAAACAGCTGGAAAGGCTTTGGAGTTCTGGTTCCATGGAGCAAAGCATCCATGCAGAGGCCAATTCAGAGCCACTGTAACACAGACTGCTACAGGAGCCCCTTGCCGTCAGCATTGATAGCAAGAGGCTTTCGGTGATCCGAGTTAAAATCTTTAATAAAGTATTTCTGGATTTAATAACAGCTGAAATATTTTTAAGATCAGAGGATGTACTTACTTCCTGCTTCTTGTCAGTGATGAGGAACCTGAAGATCCAGCTGGTCCAGGCCCAGTCAGCCGGTCCGCCCTGGACTGGAAGCTGTTTTTACCTCAGTGGCCAACTCTTATATATATATTTGATACAGTAGCGCCTTCTGTCACTTTTTCCAGCAGTTATAATTTGTTGTTAACCCGTTTTTCCGAGCCGACTTTAAACACAACAGGAGTTTATACCGGTGCGGCAAAGAGACCTGCTGCTGCAGCCGCACACAATCATGACAGTAAAACGCAAAAAACTTTGTGCAGTTTTCCCCTAAACTAACCGACTGAGTTCAGTAAAGCTGCTGGATGTGGCTAATATTAGCAAACAAGTGACTAGTTAATGTTAGCTAAAAGATGATTAGCTAATGTTAGCAAACAAATGACTAGCTTAAGTTAGCTAAAAGATGATTCGCTGTTAGCTAATGTTAGCTAAAATATGGTTAGCTAATGTTAGCAAACAAATGACTAGCTAATGTTAGCTAAAAGATGATTAGCTAATGTTAGCAAACAAATGACTAGCTTAAGTTAGCTAAAAGATGATTCGCTAATGTTAGCTAAAAGATGGTTAGCTAATGTTAGCAAACAAATGACTAGCTAATGTTAGCTAAAAGATGATTAGCTAATGTTACCTAAACGATGACTAGCTAACACCATTACAGCACCTTAATCTTAACTAGCGGTCTGTAGGCTACTGTTGTTGTTTATGTTCATAAAGTGGCACTCGTTAGATTCACTTAAGTAACGTTTTAGGAAAAAAAGGTATTTATTGGAGCAGTTTTACTGCCATGTACCTTTTTCTTATACTTAAGTCATATTATTGATACGTAGATTAATTTTGCTCCCCTGTTAAACTCGCCTGGAGCTGGGCTGGCTGGGTCGGCTCGGTACCAAAGTGTCATTTCCGGTTGTGGGGTCCATCGAGGTGGTACCGTCGGGTTTGGTTTGTTGCGTGTCGGTACCACCGTGTCTGTAGCTCGGGTTGGCTGTTGGGTCAGTACTATCGGAAGGGTACCATCTGGTCGGTTCGGTTCCGTCGGGTTGTAACACCAGAACCAGCAGCAGACAGAAAGGCGGATTCGCATTTGCTCTTGCATCAGTTTGTTTTTAATGTTGATTCATCCAGACACAACAAGCTCCTAACTACGGCGCCTCCTGTCCGCCAGGGGGCGCACTCCGAACTCACAGGTTTCTGTTTATTGTCATCAGGTCCTCTAAACAACGCGAGATTAAAAAATGACGATGCAAGAGCAGAACTGCGCCTCCCGCAGGACGAGACACGTATGAATCCATAACTTAACGCTCCACGGATGAGTCCTAAACAGGAAGTTACAAAGGCAGCGTATTTACATGTGATGTCTCACTCGGTACAAATTTCAAGTCTGATGTGTTTTTAACGAAGGCAGGCAATCCAGGGTCGTCTCCAAGGAGACGGGACTATCAGGGGTCTGGTCCCGGCGTTTCCTTGACCTCCTCGGGGGAACCAGGCGGCTCCTCGGCCCAGCCCGACTCCTTCCTGTCCACTTCCTGTTGACCTTTGATCTTTAGGATGAGCTCCTTGATCTCCTCGCGCTTCGTCTTCATCCGCTGCTGGGGGAACCAGTCAGACAAGTTGATGGGCAGGTGGAAGCTGGGGATGGGGTTCTGGAGAGAGGAGCAGAACCGGGACAGATCAGAACCGGGACACAGCAGAACCGGGACACAGCAGAACCGGGACAGATCAGAACCGGGACAGATCAGAACCGGGACACAGCAGAACCGGGACAGATCAGAACCGGGACAGATCAGAACCGGGACACAGCAGAACCGGGACAGATCAGAACCGGGACAGATCAGAACCAGGATGTGTTCTGATCTGGTTCTGATTCTGATCAGAACCAGATCAGAATCTGTCCCGGTTCTGATCTGGTTCTGATCAGAACCAGAACAGATCAGAACCGGGACAGATCAGAACCGGGACGCAGCAGAACCTCTGGAGGCTCCCAGAAACCCAAAACAGTCGTCTTAGAGCCTCCAAACCCTGAAATCCAATATCGACATGATGAAAGTGACTTCATTATTTTATTAAAATAAAGACATTTTATGTCAGTTTCTGTCTGAAATAAATGATTCTATCTATTTATTACTTGAAGGATTTACATGAATGTGTATTTAAAGATATTAAAATCGTCTAATCTGATGTCTCATGCAATGCTGCAGTACCCCTCTCTCCCCAGGGGGCGTCACTCCACGTTATAGACCCCTGCTTGATAATCCAAAACCGGTATCCCAGCATGCATCTGGGCTAAATTAAATGTGAAACATATTCGAGCAATTTTAAGGAATCAAAACGACGTCAATGACTTTTTTCTGCTTTGGACACTTTTTTAAAATTTTAATCCAACTGTCATCTAAATTTTGAATAAACTTTTAAACTGTCAGAGTGAAATGGGAACTGAACTGTCAGGTGGAAACGTTCATTCTGCATTTCGGGCCTGTGGTTCTGAACTGAAGAGATTAAAACTGGATGAAGGTAAAGATTAACACGATGTCAGAAGTTCTCTGAAATCCCTGCTTCTCTGACTGAACTGGAGCACTCCGAGTTCCTGCGGACATCGAACGCAGCCTGAGTGAGCCAATGAGAATTCAGCTGCAGTAGCCACTTCCAGCCCACAGAGGGCAGCACCGACAGCCTCAGGCCAAATATTCACACAACAAATGAATCAGAAACAAAGATGGAAGCTCTGCGGAAGAATTGAGAGTTTAAGTGGCTGTGGGTTAGAAACAAGATGGCGGCCGGCTCTGACCTCGAAGAAGCTCTCCACGTACTGCAGCACGTAGACGCCGCAGTCTGAAGTTATCCTGCTGCGGCACGCGGGGGCTGGAGCCCTTCATCACCTCCTTCCCAAAACCCCGCCGCCACGTTTTCCGCACCTCCCACTCCACCTCCAGGTACCTGGACCAGAACCGGATCAGAACCAGCATCAGGATCAGCATCAGAACCGGATCAGAACCTGAACGCATCCCACTCACTCTCTGAGAGTCTTCACCACGTTGGACCGGGCCGGGCCGCGCAGGGAGTCCATGATGAGGATACAAGGCCTGGGAGAGCGACAGCGACCCGTCAGAACCAGCAGGGGCGCTGCTGGTTCTGACGGTTCTGACCCACTCACTGTTTGCAGATGACGGGTTTGGAGGCCAAGCTGGTCTCGGAGGCGGCGGCGTCGTCAGCCATGTTCCCGTCGTCGCTGCACTCTTCCTGAATCCATCAGCACAGCAATTGATCGATTATTAACGATTAATCGATCATTTGAACGATTGATGGTGTTAAAACCAGAATCGCTCTGGCCGGTCTGCTGGTCCGGTCGGTACCTGGCCGGAGCTCTGGTCGTCAGAGAAGGCGTAGGCGTCGTCTCCGTTTCCGGAACCGTAACAGACGCTGATCCGGTGCAGCTCGCCTTCAGACAGTAACAGACGGTTCTGATCCAGGTTCCACACCACACAGCAGCAGAACCTCTAGATCCACTTACTGCTGAACTGCAGCTCGGCGTCAGCCCGGCCCGGTCCTGGCGGGTTCCGGCCCGCCTCGTTGGGGTCGCAGTCGGCCTCCTCCGGGACGGCGGGGGACGGCTCCTCGGACGAGCAGTCCAGGCCGTCCGGGGACAGCGGCCGGCAGTGGTCCGGGATGTTCTCCTCGGCGGGCGGCCCGGCCGGTGACCCGGCGGGCGACCCACAGGCCGCCGGCGGGTCCAGGTACATGGGGTTCTTCTCCAGGACCGGCCCGTGCAGGCCCGGGAAGCATATGACCGCCAGGTACCAGTGGGCCCTGGGGAGACACAGATCCACCTGACCTTTAAGAGAAACCATGAGACTTCCTGCTGCTTCCGTTCACTGAGGCTGAACCACCAGGTGACGATGCTGTGAAAACTCAACAACTCAATTCCTTTAAAGGACAAAAACATTTTAAATCTGTTTCTTTATGGAGCGGCGAGTCGTTTCAGATCATCCTGGCAGAATCTGAAACTAAAGCTGCCAGTAGAGGAACAAAGTTTTTATCCTTAATGCAAAAAGTTTCATAGGTTTTGTAGTTTTGGTTTCATTTCATCCAGCAAATAAGTTTTCTGAGTTTGTATGAAGTGATTCGTTTCTTTCAGCTTTTTATTACGTTTCTGTTTGTTCCAGTCAGACTGACTTCAGGTGCCGGACTGTTAGGTCTCCAGGCTTGGTTTTATAAAACTGAGGATTTTAATGAGAAAAAAAGAAAATGGAAGAAATTAAAGAGCAGAGATAAGATGAAAGGTCAGAGGTCAGGGCAACTTACGACTCATTGATGGGAACAAAGATGAAGTCCTTCTGGAACAGATCCACATGCCGCGTCCACGTTTTCACCCTGTTGTGCTTCCTCTTCTGGATCCTGAGGAGCCAATCAGAGTTTAGATCAGCGGGGAAACATGGCGGCTCCAGACCTGGTGGCGTCGGCGCTTACGGAAGGTTGAGGGTGTCCGGGCCGCTGCGCCGCTCTCGCTGATTCAGCCGCTTGTAGAAAAACGAGCTGAAGACGTGGATCCTTTGTGCATCTTCTTTTTTTAATCTTTCCAAAACTAAATATCTAAACAGAAACAGAAAAGACCAGAAGTTTAAAATCCGTTTAAATGTAACGAGAAGCAGAAATGCTAAAATCTCACTTTAAATAAAAGTCGATGATGACGTCGTTCAGGAACTCGCCGTCGTTTAGGCAGTGCAGGTCTTCGTTAGTGACGGAGATGCCGCCTTTGGCTGGAGGCGGGGGGTACACCATGAGCCTGGGGGGCAGACGCCAGCAGGTTAACCGCAGTTCGCTCAGCCGGCCTGCGGGGGGCAGCAGAGACACTCACTTCACGACCGGCCCAGAGAAGGTCGGCTGCAGGTCCGTCATTTCCTCGTCTTCATCGAAGAACCCGGCGCTCTGCTGGCGCGTCGCCATCCGCGTGCGAGTCGACATCCCGCCAGCAGGGGGCGCTTTGGAGGGCGGCTGCTCCAGCTGCACCTGTGGGGGCAACACCAACCAGAGGCGGATCAGGCAGACCCGACAGAACCACAACCAATCAGATCCATTCCTGTTAGCGATCACAATAGAAAAACCACTAACTAGACACAAAGCTAACGTTGCTAAAGCTAAATGACGCCCATAATGTTCAGTTTAATGATCAGAAATGAGACTTTATCACAAATATTGGCCCAAAAACCCAAGAAGGGCAGAAAATAAGAATATGCTAAAACGAGCTGCATGTGGACTGCTAGCAAACTGAGATGCTAAAATTATCCAGAAAGCACAAGGCTAAAGTTGCTAAGCTAATGCCAATGAAACTAAATAAACCAATTTAAGAGAAACAAGTTAAAGTAAAATAATCTAACGGGCTAAAATTGGAATATTTTACATTAAAGATAGTATTTATAAAGTCACTTATAACATAATTAAGCCAATTAATTATTTTGGCTATAAATCAAACGCGGGCCGTCCTGATGGTCCCTGTTTCTGCCTCAAACAGCTTCCTGTTTGGATCGGAACCAGTTTCTGATTTTCCCCTGGTCAGTGAACGCACCTTGTCGACCTTCTGGCTGGACGCCTTGTTGTAGTTGACCAGGCGGATGTTGGCCTCATCGAAGGTCAGCTTGGTGGGGAAGCCGCTGAGTTTGTTGCTGCGGCCGATGGCGGTCAGGATGTCCTCCAGGATCATCTGCTCCTTCAGCACCAGGCCGTTCTCGAAGATCAGCACGATGTACTTCTCATCCACGTCTGAGGAAACAAAACCTCACATCCGTCTGCGGCCCGATTCTCATGACACGAGCTAATAAAACCTGAGAGATTTAAATCTACTCTAGTGAGTTTCACAGTCAAGTAGTTTCGACTGGTTTGAAGTCAAGTGACTTTAGTTTCATCGCTCTGGTTCTGACCCGGATCAGACACAGGAAGCGGTCTGGACTCACGCTCTGCGGCGCAGTCGTACCACTGGCCCCCCCGCTCCTGCGACATGTTGAGCTGCGAGCGAAGACGCACGCACTCGTCCGCCGTCGTCTGGAAAAACAGAACGGGAAGCTTCCGGACGCTGCACCACTCGCAGCGCAGCAGCTCCGACGTCTGCAGGTAAACGTCTTCCACAGAGCCGGGCTCCGCACCTGGAGGACAGCCGAGGTCAACGTCAGATCGACCCCAGGTCAACGTTAGGTCGACCCGAGGTCAAGGTCAGATCGACCCGAGGTCAACCCGAGGTCAACGTCAGATCGACCCGAGGTCAACCCGAGGTCAACGTCAGATCGACCCGAGGTCAACGTTAGGTCGACCCGAGGTCAACGTCAGATCGACCCGAGGTCAACGTCAGATCGACCCGAGGTCAACGTCAGATCGACCCGAGGTCAACCCGAGGTCAACGTCAGATCGACCCGAGGTCAACGTTAGGTCAACCCGAGGTCAACGTCAGATCGACCCGAGGTCAACGTTAGGTCAACCCGAGGTCAACGTCAGATCGACCCGAGGTCAACGTTAGGTCGACCCGAGGTCAACATCAGATCGACCCGAGGTCAACCCGAGGTCAACGTCAGATCGACCCCAGGTCAATGTTAGAATGACCCTTAGCGGCAGGCTTTAAAAGAGGAGTCTTGAGGCAGAGAGATGTAGTGCAGACCAACCAGGTGTTTAATCACCAACATTTAACAAACAGTCCTGCAGACAATGCAGGAAATGCATTCCCACTGCAGCCACCCCACATGTGGGCAACCTGTCGGCTTTTATAGTCCCTGGCTGCACCAATTCACAGCCCCCAAAAACCAGGATAAAACAAAATACATATACACAAATACATCTTCAACATAATATTAAACACTTCATTTCATAGCAATCATTTCATTTCTAAAAATACTCTTATAAATATCAGTCCAATTATTAAATTCTAAAAGTCACAGAGCTTTGCTCCCCCTCTATATTTGGTCTCTCCCAGAACCCTTATAAGGAAAGAACTGAGGTGAGCCAATCTAAGTAAACCATTCAATACATTTAAAATGTTTTCACACACGTAATGAAGACTTTCATTACAGTCAACCTGAGGTCGACCCGAGGTCAACCTGAGTTCATCTGGATTAATATAATCTCTGGTATTAACCAATCAGCAGAAAGCCTGCCTGCTGCAATCAGCCAATCACAGCTGCTCCTTACCTTCAGCTTCCACCTGGATGCTCTCCACAGAAAACTGGAAAACAGAAAAACAATGTAAATAATCTTCTGTGTTTCACTTTGATCTGATCTGCAGTTATCACAATATTTAATCAGTTCAATTAAAACGACATTTTAACAGAGACTTTTTCCAAACCAGTAGTGAACCTATACTGGGAACCGAGGGCCCTGGGAACCTTATGGACTCACAATGACGGGCTTCGTCACCATCCGCCTCAAACTCCCGATCCGAACGCTGCGGCACTCCAGGATGATGCTGTCACACTTGGTAGGCGCCATTTTGGGCTTCTTCCTCCGCGGCGTCAGCGACTCGACTGGAGGCTGATTCCCAAACTGGGAAACAAGAGAAGAAGAGAAAGTTTGATTCCCAGCTGGCTCCGGGGATTTTCACGGTAAACTCCCGCTCTCACCTGGTCCTTCATGCGGGCTCGGCGTGGGATCGTGATCTTCGTGTTGACGTCTTCGAAGAAGTCGGCGTTCAGCTCCTCCTGCTCGGCGGCGCTCTTCACCGCCGCCTCCACTCGGCCTCCGGAGGGCGCCGGAGAGGAGTGGGCGGAGTCAGCGGGTCGAGGCGAGACGTTGTCCAATCGGTTCACGCTTCCGGTGCTGCCCGTCTCCGCCTCCTCCTCGTCACTGGACAGGACGACTGCAGAAGAAGAACGGGGGTCAGACTGGCGGCATCGGAAACCCGTGACCTTCCCGGACGGCCATTCCCGTGGCTCACTGGGGTCGTTGAGCTCCGGCGGCTGCCCCGCCGCCCGCTTCCCTTTGGCTCTGCAGCAGCCGGACGTCCCGGCGAGCAACGGGATCCTGCCGTTGCTCTGCGGCGCCGCCCTGCTGGCCGAGACGCGCACCGGCATGGCGGCGCCGGGTTTGTAGAAGTTCCGCTGGATCCCGACGGGTCCGGCAGGGTTCTGGGACCGGATGGCGGGACGCGGGGCGGGGGACGGGGCAGGCTGCGGCCCCGCCAGAGGTCCCGGGGTCGGGGGTCCCGGGGTCGGGGCTCCCGGGGTCGGGGGTCCCGGGGTCGGGGGTCCCGGGGGCGGCGCCAGGGACTCGCCGCAGGCGGAGCAGCTGCTGCCGAGCTCACTGGGCTGGCGACACTTCAGACACACGGAGTGATAGACGGCGGGTCGAACCGGCTGCACAGGAAACAGCAGAGAGAAAGTTTTATAAAAATATCAGAAGTGGCACCTCAGGAAGAATCGTCTCATCAGAGGAAAACTAATGATTACCAATAATTATGATTGGTAATCATTAGTTTTATACTTAACCTGAAGGGATTCTTCACGTTTTGGATCAAATATGTTGATTATATTTTAAATTACAAAAGTTAAATTAGATTTTGGGCAATAATTGAAGGGAATTTAGACCAAAGCTGAAAAATTGATTAATTTCAGTTGTTTTAGTAACTGATTAATGATTAACTGCTGATTCATCGTTTTTCTATAAACGACCAGCGAAGGGCAGAAGCTGCAGCGCTCCACACAATCACCTTTATTTACTGAAATGAGTTTGTTTATTCATACCTTTAATATTGTATACATGAAAAAACTCAGTGGCAGAATAACTGATTCATGAAAAACTCAATTATTAATGGAATTATAATAAGATGTATTAGAAATACTTCTGCATATTTCTAATATTGTGATGAAATAAATAATCTGAAAATGTGCCAATTTTCATACAACTAACCGTTCCAGACCTGAACTATGCAATAAAAATACATTTTCATTTTTTCTCCAGAGTTTTTGCCAGTGGCTCATATTTTTGACAGGCAAACAGGAATGAGGGCGAGGAGAGGGGGCAAAGGTCGCCGGGACCGGGAGTGGAGCCTGCGATGTCGGTGTCCGGGCGCGCTAACCCCCTAAATATGATTTTGAAATTTATTTTTGATTTTAATTGTTTTAACCCTCTGAATTCAGTGAGTGGATCTTTTTTGACCCGGATTAAAATCAATGTGTTTTTATGACACTTTTGTCATTTTGATTCAAAATCATGTTTTTTTTTAATACTTTCTACTGTGTTTTATTTCACAATCACTTTTTGATGTCTGAAATATTGTCATTTTTCACTTTTTAAAATGTTCTTAGAACAATTTGTAGAACATTTTTAAAATCATAACAATTTCACAACAGCCATCCATCTTATCCGGGTCGGGTCGCGGGGTCAGCATTCTGTCCTTCCAGCTCCTCCAGGGAATCCCACGGCGTTCCCAGACTGCACCGGTCCGCCTGTCGATCTCCTGCTTCCTCCTTTCCTCATTCATGGACCAGATCCCAGATACTGGAACTGATCCACTTGGGTCAGGACATCCCCCCGACCCGGAGAACCACTCTCCCCTTTTCCAGCTCGTTTATTTATATAGCTATGAACTTTTATTTTATTTATTGAGAAAAGAAAGAACAAACCTTGAACCATTGATCAACAGGTTTTGCATGTCATTCAACACTCTCTCTCTCCCTCACTTGGTTTTTTTATCCAGGTCAGACAGACACACACACACACACACACACACACACACACACACACACACACACACACACACACACACACACACACACACACACGGTAAAAAAAAAATTAATTACTATTAATTTAGTCAAATATTCAGGGGTGACTGGTAGGATCAGTGTGTTTGGTTTAATTCCCATTAAACTCCACAGGAAATGAATGCGGGTCATTTTGGACCCACATATGGAAAAATAGGGAAGTGATACAAAACATGATATTGCTTAAAATGTCAATTAAAAATTTGAATTGCATGATATCAGTAACATATTTTGGAGGAATATTTGGACTATGAAGTGATGAAGACTTTTCATTTCAAAGATATTGCAGAAAGATGAGCTCAGCGGGTCCAAAAGAACCCAAAAAGGCCTCAGAGGGTAAAACTATAATAAAATAAATCTTTGACGACCAGAGGAAACAACATTCCACATTTTCACGTTTAAGGATCAAAAGACAAAAACAATTAAAACCGAAACCATCAAGAGTCGGACCTGGAGTGTGTGTGTGTTTTCTGCTGTGTGTGTGTGTCGCCTGCTGTGTGTGTGTGTCGCCTGCTGTGTGTGTGTGTCGCCTGCTGTGTGTGTGTCGCCTGCTGTGTGTGTGTCGCCTGCTGTGTGTGTGTGTCGCCTGCTGTGTGTGTGTGTCGCCTGCTGTGTGTGTGTCGCCTGCTGTGTGTGTGTGTTTTCTGCTGTGTGTGTGTCGCCTGCTGTGTGTGTGTCGCCTGTGTGTGTGTGTTTTCTGCTGTGTGTGTGTGTCGCCTGCTGTGTGTGTGCCTGCTGTGTGTGTGTGTTTTCTGCTGTGTGTGTGTCGCCTGCTGTGTGTGTGTGTGTCGCCTGCTGTGTGTGTGTGTGTCGCCTGCTGTGTGTGTGTGTTTTCTGCTGTGTGTGTGTCGCCTGCTGTGTGTGTGTGTCGCCTGCTGTGTGTGTGTCGCCTGCTGTGTGTCGCCTGCTGTGTGTGTGTGTGTCGCCTGCTGTGTGTGTGTCGCCTGCTGTGTGTGTGTGTTTTCTGCTGTGTGTGTGTCGCCTGCTGTGTGTGTGTGTGTCGCCTGCTGTGTGTGTGTTTTCTGCTGTGTGTGTGTCGCCTGCTGTGTGTGTGTCGCCTGCTGTGTGTGTGTGTCGCCTGCTGTGTGTGTGTGTCGCCTGCTGTGTGTGTGTGTCGCCTGCTGTGTGTGTGTCGCCTGCTGTGTGTGTGTCGCCTGCTGTGTGTGTGTGTCGCCTGCTGTGTGTGTCGCCTGCTGTGTGTGTGTGTGTCGCCTGCTGTGTGTGTGTGTGTCGCCTGCTGTGTGTGTGTCGCCTGCTGTGTGTGTGTTTTCTGCTGTGTGTGTGTGTCGCCTGCTGTGTGTGTGTGTTTTCTGCTGTGTGTGTGTCGCCTGCTGTGTGTGTGTCGCCTGCTGTGTGTGTGTGTCGCCTGCTGTGTGTGTGTGTCGCCTGCTGTGTGTGTGTGTCGCCTGCTGTGTGTGTGTCGCCTGCTGTGTGTGTGTCGCCTGCTGTGTGTGTGTGTCGCCTGCTGTGTGTGTGTCGCCTGCTGTGTGTGTGTGTCGCCTGCTGTGTGTGTGTGTCGCCTGCTGTGTGTGTGTTTTCTGCTGTGTGGTGTGTCGCCTGCTGTGTGTGTGTGTCGCCCGCTGTGTGTGTGTGTCGCCCGCTGTGTGTGTGTGTCGCCCGCTGTGTGTGTGTGTCGCCCGCTGTGTGTGTGTGTCGCCCGCTGTGTGTGTGTGTCGCCTGCTGTGTGTGTGTGTCGCCTGCTGTGTGTGTGTCGCCTGCTGTGTGTGTGTGTCGCCTGCTGTGTGTGTGTGTCGCCTGCTGTGTGTGTCGCCTGCTGTGTGTGTGTGTCGCCTGCTGTGTGTGTGTCGCCTGCTGTGTGTGTGTGTGTCGCCTGCTGTGTGTGTGTGTCGCCTGCTGTGTGTGTGTTTTCTGCTGTGTGTGTGTCGCCTGCTGTGTGTGTGTGTCGCCTGCTGTGTGTGTGTCGCCTGCTGTGTGTGTGTTTCTGCTGTGTGTGTGTGTCGCCTGCTGTGTGTGTGTCGCCTGCTGTGTGTGTGTTTTCTGCTGTGTGTGTGTGTCGCCTGCTGTGTGTGTGTCGCCCGCTGTGTGTGTGTGTCGCCTGCTGTGTGTGTGTGTCGCCTGCTGTGTGTGTGTGTCGCCTGCTGTGTGTGTGTTTTCTGCTGTGTGTGTGTGTCGCCTGCTGTGTGTGTGTCGCCTGCTGTGTGTGTGTCGCCTGCTGTGTGTGTGTGTCGCCTGCTGTGTGTGTGTGTCGCCTGCTGTGTGTGTGTCGCCTGCTGTGTGTGTGTGTCGCCTCCTGTGTGTGTGTCGCCTGCTGTGTGTGTGTGTCGCCTGCTGTGTGTGTGTGTCGCCTGCTGTGTGTGTGTCGCCTGCTGTGTGTGTGTGTCGCCTGCTGTGTGTGTGTGTCGCCTGCTGTGTGTGTGTCGCCTGCTGTGTGTGTGTTTTCTGCTGTGTGTGTGTGTCGCCTGCTGTGTGTGTGTCGCCTGCTGTGTGTGTGTGTCGCCTGCTGTGTGTGTGTCGCCTGCTGTGTGTGTGTCGCCTGCTGTGTGTGTGTCGCCTGCTGTGTGTGTGTGTCGCCTGCTGTGTGTGTGTCGCCTGCTGTGTGTGTGTTTTCTGCTGTGTGTGTGTGTCGCCTGCTGTGTGTGTGTTTTCTGCTGTGTGTGTGTCGCCTGCTGTGTGTGTGTCGCCCGCTGTGTGTGTGTGTGTCGCCTGCTGTGTGTGTGTCGCCTGCTGTGTGTGTGTGTCGCCTGCTGTGTGTGTGTGTTTTCTGCTGTGTGTGTGTCGCCTGCTGTGTGTGTGTGTCGCCTGCTGTGTGTGTGTCGCCTGCTGTGTGTGTGTGTCGCCTGCTGTGTGTGTGTCGCCTGCTGTGTGTGTGTGTCGCCTGCTGTGTGTGTGTCGCCTGCTGTGTGTGTGTCGCCTGCTGTGTGTGTGTCGCCTGCTGTGTGTGTGTCGCCTGCTGTGTGTGTGTCGCCTGCTGTGTGTGTGTGTCGCCTGCTGTGTGTGTGTTTTCTGCTGTGTGTGTGTCGCCTGCTGTGTGTGTGTGTCGCCTGCTGTGTGTGTGTGTCGCCTGCTGTGTGTGTGTGTCGCCCGCTGTGTGTGTGTGTCGCCTGCTGTGTGTGTGTGTTTTCTGCTGTGTGTGTGTCGCCTGCTGTGTGTGTGTGTTTTCTGCTGTGTGTGTGTGTCGCCTGCTGTGTGTGTGTGTCGCCTGCTGTGTGTGTGTCGCCTGCTGTGTGTGTGTCGCCTGCTGTGTGTGTGTCGCCTGCTGTGTGTGTGTCGCCTGCTGTGTGTGTGTGTCGCCTGCTGTGTGTGTGTGTCGCCTGCTGTGTGTGTGTCGCCTGCTGTGTGTGTGTGTCGCCCGCTGTGTGTGTGTGTCGCCTGCTGTGTGTGTGTGTCGCCCGCTGTGTGTGTGTGTCGCCTGCTGTGTGTGTGTGTCGCCTGCTGTGTGTGTGTGTTTTCTGCTGTGTGTGTGTCGCCTGCTGTGTGTGTGTGTCGCCTGCTGTGTGTGTGTCGCCTGCTGTGTGTGTGTCGCCTGCTGTGTGTGTGTGTCGCCTGCTGTGTGTGTGTGTCGCCTGCTGTGTGTGTGTCGCCTGCTGTGTGTGTGTCGCCTGCTGTGTGTGTGTGTCGCCTGCTGTGTGTGTGTGTCGCCCGCTGTGTGTGTGTGTGTCGCCTGCTGTGTGTGTGTCGCCTGCTGTGTGTGTGTGTCGCCTGCTGTGTGTGTGTGTTTTCTGCTGTGTGTGTGTCGCCTGCTGTGTGTGTGTGTCGCCTGCTGTGTGTGTGTCGCCTGCTGTGTGTGTGTGTCGCCTGCTGTGTGTGTGTCGCCTGCTGTGTGTGTGTGTCGCCTGCTGTGTGTGTGTCGCCTGCTGTGTGTGTGTGTCGCCTGCTGTGTGTGTGTCGCCTGCTGTGTGTGTGTGTCGCCTGCTGTGTGTGTGTCGCCTGCTGTGTGTGTGTCGCCTGCTGTGTGTGTGTTTTCTGCTGTGTGTGTGTCGCCTGCTGTGTGTGTGTGTCGCCTGCTGTGTGTGTGTGTCGCCTGCTGTGTGTGTGTGTCGCCTGCTGTGTGTGTGTGTTTTCTGCTGTGTGTGTGTCGCCGTTTTCTGCTGTGTGTGTGTCGCCTGCTGTGTGTGTGTGTTTTCTGCTGTGTGTGTGTGTCGCCTGCTGTGTGTGTGTGTCGCCTGCTGTGTGTGTGTCGCCTGCTGTGTGTGTGTGTCGCCTGCTGTGTGTGTGTCGCCTGCTGTGTGTGTGTCGCCTGCTGTGTGTGTGTGTCGCCTGCTGTGTGTGTGTGTCGCCTGCTGTGTGTGTGTCGCCTGCTGTGTGTGTGTGTCGCCCGCTGTGTGTGTGTGTCGCCTGCTGTGTGTGTGTGTCGCCCGCTGTGTGTGTGTGTCGCCTGCTGTGTGTGTGTGTGTCGCCTGCTGTGTGTGTGTGTCGCCTGCTGTGTGTGTGTCGCCTGCTGTGTGTGTGTCGCCCGCTGTGTGTGTGTGTCGCCTGCTGTGTGTGTGTGTCGCCCGCTGTGTGTGTGTCGCCTGCTGTGTGTGTGTGTCGCCTGCTGTGTGTGTGTGTTTTCTGCTGTGTGTGTGTCGCCTGCTGTGTGTGTGTGTCGCCTGCTGTGTGTGTGTGTCGCCTGCTGTGTGTGTGTGTCGCCTGCTGTGTGTGTGTCGCCTGCTGTGTGTGTGTGTCGCCTGCTGTGTGTGTGTGCTGTGTGTGTGTGTCGCCTGCTGTGTGTGTGTCGCCTGCTGTGTGTGTGTCGCCTGCTGTGTGTGTGTCGCCCGCTGTGTGTGTGTGTCGCCTGCTGTGTGTGTGTGTCGCCCGCTGTGTGTGTGTGTCGCCTGCTGTGTGTGTGTGTCGCCTGCTGTGTGTGTGTGTTTTCTGCTGTGTGTGTGTCGCCTGCTGTGTGTGTGTCGCCTGCTGTGTGTGTGTGTCGCCTGCTGTGTGTGTGTTTTCTGCTGTGTGTGTGTCGCCTGCTGTGTGTGTGTCGCCTGCTGTGTGTGTGTGTCGCCTGCTGTGTGTGTGTGTCGCCTGCTGTGTGTGTGTCGCCTGCTGTGTGTGTGTCGCCTGCTGTGTGTGTGTGTCGCCTTCTGTGTGTGTGTTTTCTGCTGTGTGTGTGTCGCCTGCTGTGTGTGTGTGTCGCCTGCTGTGTGTGTGTGTCGCCTGCTGTGTGTGTGTGTCGCCTGCTGTGTGTGTGTGTCGCCCGCTGTGTGTGTGTGTCGCCTGCTGTGTGTGTGTGTCGCCTGCTGTGTGTGTGTGTTTTCTGCTGTGTGTGTGTCGCCTGCTGTGTGTGTGTCGCCTGCTGTGTGTGTGTGTCGCCTGCTGTGTGTGTGTGTCGCCTGCTGTGTGTGTGTTTTCTGCTGTGTGTGTGTCGCCTGCTGTGTGTGTGTCGCCTGCTGTGTGTGTTTTCTGCTGTGTGTGTGTGTGTGTGCTGTGTGTGTGTGTTTTCTGCTGTGTGTGTGTCGCCTGCTGTGTGTGTGTCGCCTGCTGTGTGTGTGTCGCCTGCTGTGTGTGTGTGTCGCCTGCTGTGTGTGTGTGTCGCCTGCTGTGTGTGTGTGTCGCCTGCTGTGTGTGTGTGTCGCCTGCTGTGTGTGTGTGTCGCCTGCTGTGTGTGTGTGTCGCCTGCTGTGTGTGTGTGTCGCCTGCTGTGTGTGTGTTTCTGCTGTGTGTGTGTCGCCTGCTGTGTGTGTGTGTGTCGCCTGCTGTGTGTGTGTGTCGCCTGCTGTGTGTGTGTCGCCTGCTGTGTGTGTGTGTCGCCTGCTGTGTGTGTGTGTCTGCTGTGTGTGTGTGTGTGTTTTCTGTGTGTGTGTGTCGCCTGCTGTGTGTGTGTGTGTCGCCTGCTGTGTGTGTGTGTCGCCCGCTGTGTGTGTGTGTCGCCTGCTGTGTGTGTGTGTCGCCCGCTGTGTGTGTGTGTGTCGCCTGCTGTGTGTGTGTGTCGCCTGCTGTGTGTGTGTGTGTTTTCTGCTGTGTGTGTGTCGCCTGCTGTGTGTGTGTTTTCTGCTGTGTGTGTGTCGCCTGCTGTGTGTGTGTGTGCTGCTGTGTGTTGTGTCGCCTGCTGTGTGTGTGTGTTTCTGCTGTGTGTGTGTCGCCTGCTGTGTGTGTGTCGTGCTGCTGTGTGTGTGTGTCGCCTGCTGTGTGTGTGTCGCCCGCTGTGTGTGTGTCGCCTGCTGTGTGTGTGTGTGTCGCCTGCTGTGTGTGTGTTTTTCTGCTGTGTGTGTGTCTGCTGTGTGTGTGTCGCCTGCTGTGTGTGTGTCGCCTGCTGTGTGTGTGTGTCGCCTGCTGTGTGTGTGTCGCCCGCTGTGTTCCAGCTATGCATTGTGGGAAACGCGGTGCGGCCTCCCTCACCTCTGGGCCCTGGAGCTGCGGAGAGAAGCCGACGTCCTCCAGCGGTTTCCTCCTCTGCTGGACGCGCCGCTTGATGCTCAGCGTTTCTTCTTCTGCAACAGTTACAACAGGCAGATCAGGTGACCCGTTGCCATGACGACCAGGACTCGTCCTCCGGTCGTTACGGAAACACATCCATGCAGACATGAACTAATGAAATGCAGAAACTATCAGGATGTTGGAGCTTTAGCTGTGAACATAATTAATTTTTATATTTCTGGTGGAACATGATTGGATCGAATGGATCTAACGTCTGATTGGTCAACCTAAGACCAATCACTGTCAACTAGAGCAGAGCTGGCCCCACCCACTGACCTGACTCAGATTAATCATCAATAACTTAGAATTAATCAAGTCTGTAAATATAAAATAAATATCATTATATAAACAAAACAATTTTAAAAATCAACATTTGAGAATTAATGATTTCATGTCCTGCTACTGGACACCAAGAATTTATTAGAAATCAGCTGGTGCTGCTGCGCATGGCTAACACTTCGGTATAGTCAAAGTAAAAGTCAGTAATTATGTGTTTTCCAGGCACAAAGTGACATTTCCTATCATAGTCAGTAACTGTGCTCCCTTCAGTCGATTTAAAAATGTTATTTACATCAAATACGACTGACAAGACTTGGAATTGGGCCTCTGTCTTTAAGAACTCCTGCTCTGAAGCTCCGCCTCCAAGAAGTCGTCCCAACATGGCTCCTCTATGAAGCCTTTAATGTTTTTACTTGCTCTGTTTGCTAATTACTGCTGCTAGTCTGAAGGAGCAGAGTGGGGGGGGAGAGGGGGGGTCTGCACCTTGAAGGCGGGGCTTAGCAGCTGAATGGTTGCCATGGAGATTAAAGGATCTCTCTTACATGAAAGAATTAAAGCAACACTGCAGGTTTATTTCTGATGAAGAGAGATCAGAAACTAGTCTTAGCTAGCTCTCCTAGCTAACGCTGACTCTCTACCTGATGCTCGTTTCCATGGTAACGTGAAGCAGGACTCTACCTGGAGACTCCGGGCAGGTGAGGACGATGCTGTCCACTTCCACGGCCGGCTGTGTGGACGAGAAGTTGTTTCTGTGGGACAGGAGGACGACAAAGAGTCTCTAGCGACGTCCACACGAGGAGGCAGAAGCCTGCGCGTGGGGACTGCTGACCTTTGACCCGCCTTCCTGGCGGCCGACGGCACCTGGGCGTGCTGGAAGTGGCGACCCTGCAGGACGATCCCGGGAGCCAGCGCCGAGGTGAAGATCAGGTTCAGGTCGGTTCTGGTGGAGGACGGCGCCGGTACCGGCAGCGTCACGTCGCTGTGGGGCAGAGAGCGGATCAAAACCAGGATTAGGACCAGAACCAGAACCAATATTAGGACCAGAACCAGAACCAAGATTAGGATCAGAACCAGGACCCCTGGACAAATCAGAAACCAACCAGAACCAGCATCTGCAGAAAATAATGAAAGCCCGCTGCTGTTTGGACCACCTTCCCAGCCGTCCTTCCATCAGAACCAGCCGAGCTCAACCGGGTCACAGCAGGCTGGATTCCACCCAGTTAACCCAGTTCTCATTCTGATCCATTTTCCAGTTATCTTTAAAGATTTTCCCAGATTTTCTACTCAGCATGATGAAGATTCTGATCCGGTGGGACTTTCAGAACCTTCTGGGTTTAACCAGTTTCTCCATCCAATCAGAGGAGGTTCTGACAGCTTCCTGTTTTCCGTCCAATCAGAGAGACACGTGTGAGGCTGCTGCTAACTGGCTGCTAACATACCCCTGCTAGCAATATGTTGACAATATGCTCTGGTACTGAAGCTAACTAGCAAAAGAGCTACTTAGTTAGCTAGCTTAGCATCTTATTTAGTTTTTTTTGTTTTATTTAAATCTGTGAAATGTTTTTTCTGATTCCATGCCTATAACTTCTTGTTCTAAGCAGTGAGTTGTCTCTGGCTCAAAGCTGCTTTATAAATGAAACTGTTTTGACTATTATGGCTCACGGTTCTGTACTACAGGACACTGGCAAAAGCTAGCAAGCTAGTTAGCGTTAGCCTCAACTGGATATCTGAGTGTACTCAAACTTTTGCCCGAGAGACAACACAGACTGCTACTGGAGATCTTTCCTGCCCACAGCATCACTAGCTACATTACCTCTTTGATAATTTGAACAGTTAAAACAATATTTATTATAGTTTGTTTATTGACCATTATTGATCACATAAATTATCTCTATAGATTACTTCCTTGTATATCTGTCTACATCTATATTTTTTTACTCATAATGACTAGCATAATTTTTCTCCTTTCTCTTATTTTTTAATTTTCCAGTGACTTGAATTAGTCTTCTAAACTTCTCATTTATTTATTGAAGCCCTGAAAGGGAAAATGACAAATGTGTGATGTGTGTACTTTTATCACTGATGTACAAGGAACAATAACTCAAATTCTGACATATTTCTATCTGCTCTAAACATTTAATTTTGTTCGATCAATCCAATTATTTCCGATACATTATTTCATTTTGCATAAATATAAAGTCTAAGCTTGAAGCCTCTGGAAATCTGCTTGCAGTCGATCAAACATGAGCCGGATGTGAGCTTTTATTGTGAAAGCAGCATGTAAATGGGTACCAATACGTTTTGAGCAGACGGCTCGCTTTACCGCGGTCACCAGAAACAAACTGTCCTCATATGTCCTAGAACAGATGAGGACAACAAACCAGTGCAACCAGTTAGACCAGTACTGTTGAAGAAACAGAACTGGGCCGTACCTGAACCTTCGGGGGGTCAGCCGGGTCAGGGACCGCATGTGGCTGCTGGGTCGGTTTCCGTGTGTCCTCAGTGGGTCGGGGGAACTGTAGTGCTTTAACGAAGGAGACTGGAGAAGAACAAAGCAGCATCAGAACCAGAACCATCAGAACCGGGTCAGAACCAAGATGGAACCAGGAGGAGTTACCTTCTTCTCCTCCGGGGGGGTCAGCTGCTGCCGCTCCATCTCCTCCTCGCTCACCGCGCTCGCCCTGCAGAGAAGAGAGTCCAGAACCATCAGCCATGATGACCTTTGACCTGTGTGTGGCGGTCTGAGGAGAAAGGCTTGAATGTACAACCATAATGACTTTTATTCATGTCAAACCTGAAGGTAAATAAAACCCAGAAGATTTTGGTCCATTTTCACTTCAAACAGGTGTATGTAAACTTCTGACCTTTACTGTATTTCATCCCTGATTGTCTTAATGATTGAAATAAAAAATTCTGTGATAACTTTATTTTGCGATGTCCCCATTAAAGACATTTTGTGTGTATATCATGTTGCTTTGCAACGTTTTATGCAGGTTTATCTGAGTTGAGTTTTCATCACATGTCTAATATCATGACAACGTTGTGATTCCAGGTTTTATGTTAACAATTTTACTTCACTAACTGAGGCTTCCACAGTTAGTTTGGCGCTTTGATGCTCCAGTTAACGATTAATGACTAAATTAGTTGATGATTATTACAGTAATCAATTAATCCCGATTCATCGATTCAGCCCAGTGAGAGCATCCAGAAATCTGCCACAAAACATTTATAATGATTACAGAGAATCATTTCATAACTCTATTAAGTGATTCTCCTAACAGAGTCCAATGCTGGCTAACAGAGGCTAACGAAAGCTCACAGAGGCTAATGGAAGCTAACAGAGGCTAATGGAAGCTAACAGAGGCTAATGGAAGCTAACAGAGGCTAATGGAAGCTAACAGAGGCTAATGGAAGCTAACAGAGGGTAATGAAGGTGGCGGTGACAGGAATGAGAGCAGCAGCACCAGGACAGCACCTTGGCGGAGCGATCGGGATAAAAAAACGAGAGCAGAGCTGCTTACTGGTGTCGGGTCTCCGCCTCGGCGCCACCAGGAAGCGAGAAGCTCCAGCTGTTCTTGAAGCCTCCATCTCTCCTGCTCTCAGATCTATTCAGGGCTTAAACAGTAAACCAGAACTGGGTCAGAACAGGAACAGCAGCACAACCCGGTCCTAACCTCAACCGGGTTAAGACACATGCATTGCATGAGCCGAACCGGACCGGTTCCAAATGCACAGACTGGGGGACGGGTCGGACCGACTGGGAGAAAGTCTGGACCCTGAAGAACCAACTTCCGAAACCAGACAGATCCCACTGAGAGCCGCTCCACAAGCTGCAATGATCATTTACTAACCGATTAACTGATCAGTTATTCTGATGATTAACCGATTAATTGGATTAAAAAAGGCACTTTCTACAGATTTTTCATTTAACAACTAAAACCTTTTTGATATATTTGAAATGTATTCAACTGGAAAATAATCAACTTTTTGAAATAAAAAAGAAAACATTTATTACCTAGAATGGTAAATCTGAAACAGGTGAAATTAAAACTACAATTTTACAGATTTACAGAGAAAGCTGATTTTATATTAAATGTTTATATTTTGTTTACTTTTGGCTTCATTACTGCTCTGAATGTCTTTTTTATTCAGCAAATTGCCTTTTTTCCGTCTGTGTAATCCAGTTAATGGTATTAGTTGACTGTTATTTCAAATATCGATTAATTTGATTAATCGTTTCGATCCAACATGGAGCCAGACGGATGCAGCTCAGGAATTCTGGGAAGATGTGAATTACAGTTATTTGGTTATTTTTACATAATCGCTGCTGTTTTATTACAACATTTTCTTAATAAATTAGTTTTCTATTATTTTTACTATTTTTACTATTTTTATTTTTACTAATTTTACACACACACACACACACACACACATCCTTTGTGTAAGCTCCTGTATTATTGTTATTTATGTTGTACAGTATTTAATTTGAAGGAATCCACTTTCTATTTACATTTCATCTCGTATTTTATCTGATTTCAGTAAATTACAATAACAGTAACAGAATCATAATAATATCTGTGATGCTTCATGCTGTGCAGGTCATATTCAAACCTGCTTCTGTTTACATGTTTTCCTCTCAGCGCTACAGCTAGCCTGTTAGCATGTTCGTTAGCAGCAGTTAGCGTTCTGTTGGTGAACTCTGGCCAATCAGAGGCCGTTTATCTGTTTGTTTGTTTGTTGTTTACTTGTTTGCGCCTCTGTCCGCGCTGAGCAGCCAGCTCTGGGGCGAACAGCCTCCCCTCCCGGCCGCAGGAAGGCCCGGCTGCGCTGCAGCTACAGCCAGCTAACAGCAGCGCTAACGGGGGTAGCTACAGCCCCCAGAACCGAGCCGATTCCGGTCACAAACAGCCGAACCCTAACCTTAGCCCGTCCCAGGCCGGTCCAGACCTGAACATTCGGCCCTCCAGCCCCCCGGCCGGCAGAGCATGATGGGGAGAAGCAGCATGGAGCCAGCCGGAGTCCCGGTGGCTGAGTGCGGCTGAAGCAGCTGCAGCGGTCCGGTCCGGTCCGGTGCGGAGTGTCATCGTTTACCTTGGAGGAAGAAGCTTCTGTTGTGGGCCATGTTCATGCCCCGACCCGCTTCATGTTTCGACGATGCTCATTAATGGTTGGAAACAGCAGCTCGGCCGCTTCAAGCTTCTGGGTTCCACAAATACACACCATGCCGGAAGCTGCATGTCAGGGCTTCACAATAAAAGCTCTAACCCAGAACATGCTGCAGCTTTAACCCCAATGCAACCATAAACCGGTTCCGATCCATTAACATGGTCCGGGTCTTCTTCTCTCAGTTTTCTTACCTAATGAGGTTAGATCAGCAGGAACATCTTAACGTTTGATGAAAATAACTCCGTTTTATAACAATCTACATAAATTCATGTAGATTGGGTCTGTTATTGCTCAATAACAGATCCTCCATCTCTGTTCAGCGCCGCCAGATGTTAAAATGCATTTAGCTGAGATTTCAGGTCAGAGATGACACTCAGATGGAGTTTTTGATATTATTATTGATTCATTTGTAGAGTTACCTCCACTGCCTGTAAGACTGAAAATCCAAACCAAACATTCAGGCTGTAAAATGACCTTCAGATTATTCAGTTTAATTTTAATGTTTTTACATTCCCATTTTTTCTCCAAAAAACCAATAAACACTTTTTTGAAAAAAAAAAACTTTTTTGAAAAATGCAGAAAGTTTTTTTTTTTTTTTTTTTTTTTTTTTTTAGCTGTTTCCGTCACAGTTTGTTCATTAAAACAAATCCAATTCATTATAAATGTCACGAATTATGGAACAAAATGTATTTTTGCATTTGACTGAACATTGTTTGACGGACCACTGAATAAATAAAGCAGCTCTTTATTAACCAGCCAGTTCTCATTACTACGTCATATCCGGTGGCCTTGCTGAACAGATTGTGACGTCAAAGCGCAGCCTGCTGCTGTTGTAACAGAGTTTATGTTGAAGAATCCCACTTGCTTTATATATTATCAGTGCAAGGGGAAATAGCGCCTCCTCTCTGTGTGGCTGGTTATATGCTGCTGTAATCAGTGCCAGTCTATGGAAGCTGCAATAGAGGTGAGTTTCATTCCTCAGCACGGAAAAGTGTTAGAAACACATAAAGTATGATTCTTAATAACTTACATCAATAGTGTGCAACTACTATTTATGATTTGTGTGCCTGGCATCAATTTTGCACTTTTAGTTTTGTTAATATTTTGTAAAACACTTTCTGTGCTAAGTTAAAGTCAACATGACGCTCTGTTGTAGTGTGCTGAGGGAAGCTGAGCCGTTGCATTGATTCCAACCCGATCTGTTCTCATTCAGGAAATAAACTGCCTGTTCACCCAGAACTCCTGGTCTTCATTAAAACATCTACACAACGCAGAGTCGAGGGGTTACTTGGGTCGGCCTGGTACAGCGGCGTGAAGCAGAACCCGGTTACACTGTGACGTCACGATTGGCCCATGATCTCGAGACTTGATCAGACGTCAGTCCCCGTTTCCGTTCCAGTTTGGATGTTTTGGGTCCAGGAGTCGATTGTTGCTGGTTGTTTGTTCCAAGAGGAGAAAGAAATCAAATCCTAAAATAAACATTTTACCAATTTTGATTGATTTATGTTTATCATTCTGGAGTAAATCAATGTAAGTCAACATGCTGATAACACACATGCTACTAGTAGCATTTAAGCTAACCTTAGCCTCATGGCTAATTTTAGTTTAATTTTAGCATGCAGAATGGAGTAAGTCCACCTTAACATAGCAATGATACTCCACATGCTATTGAGTACGTTAGCTAAGCTTAGCATTGATGCTAACTGGGCTCGATGCAAACACTTTGGTAGGCCCTGCTTAAACTTCTTCAGAAATGTTCCAGTGATTTTTTGAACATTGCTTTTATAAGTGTTCCACCAAATCTTGGCAGGGAAACTCAAATGTGTTAAAGTATAATTTCTTTGCACAAAAAGCTTTATGATTGAGACACTGCTTTGTTTTAATTAGCTGGCTAAGTATTTAGCTAACAAAATCAATATTTAGCTTCAGATCTTCATTTGATCCTCCGTGAGGATTGTGTGTTGAGCAAACTCACATCAAAGGTCATAATTTTCAGGCAGCAAAGACAGAAAACATCAAATTTGTTTAAAAAAATCCCTTTATTGATTGTGGTTGCCATAGATTCCAACTCTTGCTTTAGATTCATTTCTTGCTTTAGAGACATTTCCTCCCGCTGGTCACACACACTGGTCACACACACACACAGACACACACACGCACAGACACACACACGCACACACACACACGCACACACACACACATGCACAGACACACACACACACAGACACACACACACACAGCTGGAGGTTCAGCTGGTGCTCTTGCTGTTCTTCTTCTTCTTCTTCTTGGGGATTTGCTTCCCGCCAGCTGCTTTGGTTGACCCATCAGACGGTTTACTGGACTCTCCTGGTTCTGACCCATTGGGTAACTGCTGGACCAGAACCTCTTCCACTGGGAGGACTGGTTTCACCAAACTGGTCTCCTTCAGACATTCAATCTCTAAAGCTTTTGGTTCTGGATCCGCCCTGCCTGGTTCTGGATCCGCCCTGCCTGGTTCTGGATCCGCCCTGCCTGGTTCTGGATCCGCCCAGCCTGGTTCTGGATCCGCCCTGCCTGGTTCTGGATCCGCCCTGCCTGGTTCTGGATCCGCCCTGCCTGGTTCTGGATCCGCCCAGCCTGGTTCTGAGGTTGCTGATTGTTGGACATCCTCTCTGACTTGTGTTGGACTCTGCTCCACCTCTGGAGGCGCCACCAGGTCGGTTGGTTCTGACCCAGTTGCCTGCGGTTCTGGATCCTTCAGCAGAACCACATGTGGGTCTTCAGCCTTCTCTTCTCTCCCTTCTGCCTGACCAGCCGCTGAAGCCGGACCTTCCTTGATGTCGGTTCTGGTTTGGAACTGAGCAATGGCGGAGACGATGACATCATCTTCGTCGCCCAGCTCCTTTTTCTCGTCCTGCTCCTCGCTATCACCCGGCGTGGCCAGCAGGGCGGCGGCGAACTCCTGCAGCTTGGCTTGCTCCTGCCGCAGCCGGGCGATGTTCTGCGTTAGAACCGGGTCGTCCTCCTGGAGCTCCTGGAGCCCCTCCAGGTCCGGCATGGCAGCGTCTTCAGGAACTCCGCCGTTCTCTGTGAAGTCGGCTAATTTGGACGAGAGGCCGGCGCTGGACTGGCGGGACTTCTCGGATCTTGTCGTAGAGTCCCTTCCTCTCCTCCTGCAGAGCACGGCAGAGCTTCTCCAGCTTCTGGATCTTCAGGACAAACAGGTCGTACTCTCTGCCTTTCTCTGTTCTCTGCAGAAGAAGAAGAAACTCAATGGAGAGTTAGGCTAATGGATGCAAACCGATGCTGAGGTTCCAGCCTCTGAGATAAGTGGAGACGATTTAACTGGCCGAGACGTCCACAATGAGGACCTTCAATGCTGCATTCACAGCAGCCCAGTTCGGTCCGCTTTAACCCAACTCTGGTCCGTTTGCCCCAAACGTGCGGCTCGGATGGGGAGGTGAATGTGTACGTGTGTGTCCAGCGCTAGCGGGAGAAACACCTCGTGGTTTTTAGCCTGAGACAAAGAAAAAATTCTCCAACCACTGAAATCTGATGCCTCTGCATTTCTGTTTCCATCGGTGAAGAAGGAAGTAGCTGATGAGTGAAAAGATGAACTCAAACTCACTCACTACTCTATAACAAGGGTTTTGTGACTGGATCTCTATATTCAGCTCATTAAATAAAATCTGCCATTCCGGCCTGAACGGCTGCCCAACGTGGGGCTCAGACTCTGAGGCGACATCAGGGTGAAACCTGAGCAGATGCTGAACAAAACCTGCTGGCGTTATTTAGACCAGGGACTCTGAGTCCTGGGAGATGATTTCCTTCTTTTCCTGGAGGGAATTCAGAAGTCGATCCAAAGTATCCACAGAACATTACGTCGACTTCTCAGCATTTTGGTTCTGATTTAATACAGCTTACCTCCTCAATCATGTCGATCAGCGTCTTGTTGCAGTTCTCAAACCTGGTCTTCCAAAGGTTTGCCTCCTTCTCCACCTTCTTCATCTTCTCAGTCATCTAGAAACAGAAAAATTCAGCTTTATTGCTGTTATTATGACTCTGACTAGAGGACTGTGAGCAGATTTGAATGGATCTGGAAGCCGCTCACGTTGTCCATCTCCCGTTTGAAGCGGACATAGATCTCATTGCTCTTGGCCAGCGTTGCCTGAAACTCGTCAAACTTCTGAGCGTAGAGCGCCAGCTGCGAACGAACGAGGAGAAAAAGACGTAAACATGGCCAGCAGGGGGCGCTGCAGGCGACAATTTGAACTCAGAAGATTTTCCACATCTTGTCCAATTGCTGCTCTGCAACATTATTACAACTTCATCACCAAACTAATATGATTTTATTCTAGTAATATTATATACTCTGGTAATATTTCAACCTTGTTCTGTTATGAATATTACAACTTAATTCTTGTATTATTGTGACTTCATTGTCATTTTATTTCCACTTCCATGTCATATAACTTTATTCAGAGTTTATTGTCATATTTTTTACATTGTTTCTCATATTGTTATAAATTTACTCTTGGATTCTTAGGCCTTTATTCTGAAAAACACATGACTTTTTTCTGGTAATAGTATGACTATTGTTGCACAATTTTATTACAATAGTATAAATACTTATTGATGCCAATAATCTCATATTTTATGACTTTATTCTCAAATCAAAATGACTTTATTGTCACATAATTACAACTTCTTGGATTATTTCCATGTAATTGTCATACAACTATTCTTATATTATCACAAATTTATTCTGGTAAATTACAACTTTATTCTCACATAATTATTACCCTATTATTCTTGTTTTTTTTTAGACTTTTTTAGACTGCAGTTTTATTCCCAGGTGAATATGCCTTCATTGTTGTAATGAAAGATGATATTTTAACTTCTGTTGTTGGATCAGAACCCAGTGGAGGGTAGAGACTCTGCCTCAGGTGACGAGAACCTGCAGCGGCTCATGGATCTGCAACGTGCTACCTGTCCAGGTGTTCTGCAGCTTCCTACCTGTCCAGGTGTTCTGCAGAGTGCTACCTGTCCAGGTGTTCTACAGAGTGCTACCTGTCCAGGTGTTCTGCAGCTTGCTACCTGTCCAGATGTTCTCCAGAGTGCTACCTGTCCAGGTGTTCTGCAGAGTGCTACCTGTCCAGGTGTTCTACAGAGTGCTACCTGTCCAGGTGTTCTGCAGCTTGCTACCTGTCCAGATGTTCTGCAGAGTGCTACCTGTCCAGATGTTCTGCAGATTGCTACATGTCCAGGTGTTCTGCAGCTTGCTACCTGTCCAGATGTTCTGCAGAGTGCTACCTGTCCAGGTGTTCTGCAGAGTGCTACCTGTCCAGGTGTTCTGCAGCTTACTACCTGTCCAGGTGTTCTGCATCGTGCTACCTGTCCAGGTGTTCTACAGAGTGCTACCTGTCCAGGTGTTCTACAGAGTGCTACCTGTCCAGATGTTCTGCAGCTTACTACCTGTCCAGATGTTCTCCAGAGTGCTACCTGTCCAGGTGTTCTGCAGCTTACTACCTGTCCAGATGTTCTCCAGAGTGCTACCTGTCCAGGTGTTCTGCAGCTTACTACCTGTCCAGGTGTTCTGCAACGTGCTACCTGTCCAGGTGTTCTGCAGAGTGCTACCTGTCCAGGTGTTCTACAGAGTGCTACCTGTCCAGGTGTTCTGCAGAGTGCTACCTGTCCAGATGTTCTGCAGAGTGCTACCTGTCCAGATGTTCTGCAGAGTGCTACCTGTCCAGATGTTCTGCAGAGTGCTACCTGTCCAGATGTTCTGCAGAGTGCTACCTGTCCAGATGTTCTGCAGAGTGCTACCTGTCCAGGTGTTCTGCAGCTTACTACCTGTCCAGGTGTTCTGCATCGTGCTACCTGTCCAGGTGTTCTGCAGAGTGCTACCTGTCCAGGTGTTCTACAGAGTGCTACCTGTCCAGATGTTCTGCAGAGTGCTACCTGTCCAGATGTTCTGCAGAGTGCTACCTGTCCAGATGTTCTGCAGAGTGCTACCTGTCCAGGTGTTCTACAGAGTGCTACCTGTCCAGATGTTCTGCAGAGTGCTACCTGTCCAGATGTTCTGCAGAGTGCTACCTGTCCAGATGTTCTGCAGAGTGCTACCTGTCCAGATGTTCTGCAGAGTGCTACCTGTCCAGGTGTTCTGCAGCTTACTACCTGTCCAGATGTTCTGCAGAATGCTACCTGTCCAGGTGTTCTGCAGCTTACTACCTGTCCAGGTGTTCTGCAACGTGCTACCTGTCCAGGTGTTCTGCAGAGTGCTACCTGTCCAGGTGTTCTACAGAGTGCTACCTGTCCAGATGTTCTGCAGAGTGCTACCTGTCCAGATGTTCTGCAGAGTGCTACCTGTCCAGATGTTCTGCAGAGTGCTACCTGTCCAGATGTTCTGCAGAGTGCTACCTGTCCAGGTGTTCTGCAGCTTACTACCTGTCCAGGTGTTCTGCATCGTGCTACCTGTCCAGGTGTTCTACAGAGTGCTACCTGTCCAGGTGTTCTACAGAGTGCTACCTGTCCAGATGTTCTGCAGCTTACTACCTGTCCAGATGTTCTCCAGAGTGCTACCTGTCCAGGTGTTCTGCAGCTTACTACCTGTCCAGATGTTCTGCAGAGTGCTACCTGTCCAGGTGTTCTGCAGCTTACTACCTGTCCAGGTGTTCTGCAACGTGATACCTGTCCAGGTGTTCTGCAGAGTGCTACCTGTCCAGGTGTTCTACAGAGTGCTACCTGTCCAGATGTTCTGCAGAGTGCTACCTGTCCAGATGTTCTGCAGATTGCTACCTGCCCAGGTGTTCTGCAGCTTACTACCTGTCCAGGTGTTCTGCAACGTGCCACCTGTCCAGGTGTTCTGCAGGTTGCTACCTGTCCAGATGTTCTCCAGAGTGCTACCTGTCCAGGTGTTCTGCAGAGTGCTACCTGTCCAGGTGTTCTACAGAGTGCTACCTGTCCAGGTGTTCTACAGAGTGCTACCTGTCCAGATGTTCTGCAGAGTGCTACCTGTCCAGATGTTCTCCAGAGTGCTACCTGTCCAGGTGTTCTACAGAGTGCTACCTGTCCAGATGTTCTGCAGAGTGCTACCTGTCCAGATGTTCTGCAGATTGCTACATGTCCAGGTGTTCTGCAGCTTGCTACCTGTCCAGATGTTCTGCAGAGTGCTACCTGTCCAGGTGTCTGCAGAGTGCTACCTGTCCAGGTGTTCTGCAGCTTACTACCTGTCCAGGTGTTCTGCATCGTGCTACCTGTCCAGGTGTTCTACAGAGTGCTACCTGTCCAGGTGTTCTACAGAGTGCTACCTGTCCAGATGTTCTGCAGCTTACTACCTGTCCAGATGTTCTGCAGAATGCTACCTGTCCAGGTGTTCTGCAGCTTACTACCTGTCCAGGTGTTCTGCAACGTGCTACCTGTCCAGATGTTCTGCAGAGTGCTACCTGTCCAGATGTTCTGCAGAGTGCCTTGTTTCTGCAGAGTGCTACCTGTCCAGATGTTCTGCAGAGTGTAACCTGTCAGGTGTTCTGCAGCTTACTACCTGTCCAGGTGTTCTGCATCGTGCTACCTGTCCAGGTGTTCTACAGAGTGCTACCTGTCCAGGTGTTCTACAGAGTGCTACCTGTCCAGATGTTCTGCAGCTTACTACCTGTCCAGATGTTCTCCAGAGTGCTACCTGTCCAGGTGTTCTGCAGCTTACTACCTGTCCAGATGTTCTGCAGAGTGCTACCTGTCCAGGTGTTGCAGCTTACTACCTGTCCAGGTGTTCTGCAACGTGATACCTGTCAGGTGTTCTGCAGAGTGCTACCTGTCCAGGTGTTCTACAGAGTGCTACCTGTCCAGATGTTCTGCAGAGTGCTACCTGTCCAGATGTCTGCAGCTTACTACCTGTCCAGATGTTCTCCAGAGTGCTACCTGTCCAGTGTTCTGCAGCTTACTACCTGTCAGATGTTCTGCAGAGTGCTACCTGTCCAGGTGTTCTGCAGCGTGCTACCTGTCCAGGTGTTCTGCAGAGTGCTACCTGTCCAGGTGTTCTGCAGAGTGCTACCTGTCCAGGTGTTCTCCAACGTGCTACCTGTCCAGGTGTTCTGCAGAGTGCTACCTGTCCAGGTGTTCTGCAGAGTGCTACCTGTCCAGGTGTTCTGCAGCTTGCTACCTGTCCAGGTGTTCTGCAGAGTGCTACCTGTCCAGGTGTTCTGCAACGTGCTACCTGTCCAGGTGTTCTGCAACGTGCTACCTGTCCAGGTGTTCTACAGAGTGCTACCTGTCCAGATGTTCTACAGCTTACTACCTGTCCAGATGTTCTCCAGAGTGCTACCTGTCCAGGTGTTCTGCAGCTTACTACCTGTCCAGGTGTCTGCAACGTGCTACCTGTCCAGGTGTTCTGCAGAGTGCTACCTGTCCAGATGTTCTCCAGATTGCTACCTGTCCAGATGTTCTACAGAGTGCTACCTGTCCAGATGTTCTGCAGATTGCTACCTGTCCAGATGTTCTCCAGAGTGCTACCTGTCCAGATGTTCTGCAGATTGCTACCTGTCCAGATGTTCTCCAGAGTGCTACCTGTCCAGATGTTCTCCAGAGTGCTACCTGTCCAGGTGTTATGCAGAGTGCTACCTGTCCAGGTGTTCTACAGAGTGCTACCTGTCCAGATGTTCTACAGAGTGCTACCTGTCCAGATGTGTTCTACAGAGTGCTACCTGTCCAGGTGTTATGCAGAGTGCTACCTGTCCTGGTGTTCTGCAGCTTACTACCTGTCCAGATGTTCTGCAGAGTGCTACCTGTCCAGGTGTTCTGGCCGTGAATATTCACCTGTGCCTGCATGACAGTCGCCTGCTCTCTGAGAGTCTTAGCCTGCAGTTTCCACTCAGCGGCCTGAACCAGTAACTGGTCAGAGGGAACAGAAACAGACGCGGTTACAGACGGTCTTTACCTTCTTCTTCATGGCCAGCTCCTGCTCCTTCATAGCGAAGCATTTCTTTGTTTTGTCAATAGCTTCTCTAAGCAACTACGGCAACAGAGACACAGTCACTCAGTCACAGTCTGCTGCACATATGGAAACACATTAGACCATATAATCATCTGCAGTCAGCATGAATACATGCAACATGACAGGAAGCATGAATTTACTTTGATTCATTGCAATGATTCCAATCTGGATCCTGCAGATGTTTCAAATAAATCTACCAAATGTAAAATTACACAGATAAAAATTAACACCAATGATTTCATTTGTCTGTCAGAAAAAAACATGAAGGTAATTTTCACCATTATATTCACCCATTGATAAAAGTCACAGTTTCCAACCAAATACTTAATTAGGAAGCTAACAGTTTAGTTTGAAGCTAACCATCATCATCATCATCACCATCATCATCACCATCATCATCACCATCATCACCACCACCATCATCACCATCATCATCATCACCACCATCATCACTCACATATTCTTTTTCCCGTTTGTGTTTGTCTTCAGCCTCGGCCAGCAGTGCGTTGGCCTGCTGCAGTTTGGCCTCCGTCAGTTTGTGCTGCAGGTCGTGATGTTTGTTGATCTTCTCCAAACTCTGCAGGACGGCAGAAGAGTCTGTTAGCTCTGGAAACACTGCGGGTTTACGACAGGGAGTCCAAAGAAAGAAAACTAAAACCAAACAAGTAAAGGAGCCTGACCTTTAGTGGGGAAGGAAATAAATTTGGGTCACTTTCTTTTATATTGAGCAAAATTCAGTAAATTTAATAGAAGCTGATTTGGTTGCAGTAAAGTTTGGCTTTCTGTAAAAAAAAGCTTTTTATAAAAGTTTGGAAAGAAAAGACAAAAACTTTCAGTTATGAGAAAATGACGTCAGTAATTTAAAAATGAGAAGTTAACCAAATAATGGATGGGTCAAACTCATGTCGTTCTTGAACTGCAGTGGGGGGGCCAAACAAACTCAGACTCAGGGCCACAAATGGCCCCTGGGCCACAGTTGAACAACCCTGGATCAGAAGGTGCAGTTACATTTTTCCTTTTGTTAACTGAAATAAATTCACATTTCGAAGCAGCAGCGTGAAGCCGGAGAAAGATCTGGAGTCATTGTCCTGCATGAAGGCCCTGATGTTTCCCGCCGCCCTCTCACCTCCTCCCGCCGCTCATACTGGCTCATGAGGCTCTCCAGCTTGTCGGTCAGGTTGGCGTTCTCCTGCCGCAGCTTGTCGTTGCGGCCGCTGTGCAGCTCGATCTGAGCCTGGATCTCCTCCAGGGTCTCCTGGAAGTGGTTGGTGATGTCGCTCCGCTTCTCCTCATCCTCCCTGCAGCGCCGCAGTGTCTCCTCCTGCAGGAGAAACGCCTGGTGAGGAGTTCCTCAGGGCTGTGTACTCCCATCACTTCTCTTTACATCACCTGAGCCTCTTGGCTCCACTGTCTGCTAACTAACCAGCTAGCTAACGCTAACAACAAAACACAAACATTAGCTCAGCTAACTCTAATGTGACTCTGGAGAGAAATAACTTCTATATGCTGTGGGACTTTATATCATATTTACATTAAAAAACATCTGCAACAAAAACTATATCCAGGTTTTATATTCAAGAATCAATAAAACTATAAATACATTGAACTGAAGTTTAAATGGCACTAAAATATTCAGTGATATCTGACCTAAAACAAATTTCTATAAAGCCCTTAGATATTGCATTTATGTTTACAGCTTCTTCACTTCATTATGTTCCTATAAGTTTTTAATTTCTTAAAACTCATTTAGGAGTTAACAAAAACGCTAAAGGGTTAAGCTAATAATTAGCTTTGTTATTAGCGCAGGTCTGCTCACAGCTGCTGGAAAGCAAACCTGCACACACATTTAGTCTGGATGTGATAGATCAGCTGGTTCTGGGTGGTTCTGGTTGCTGAGCCGGTCCTACCCGCAGCGCGCCGTAGTGTGCCTGCAGGTCCCTGCACAGCGCCTCCAGCTGGCTGCGCGCGCCATGCTGCAGCGCCGGTCCTCCAGCAGGTGGCAGAGTTTCTGCTGCAGCGCGCTCTTCTTCTGCTGCTCGTCGCGCCACCAGCGCCGCCTGCTGACACACAGCCGCTGTTAAGCTGCTGACGCCAGCCGGAGTCTCACCGGCAGAGCGGAAACGTTCTCACCAGTTCGGCGAACTGCTGCACCAGTTCCTCCAGTCGGGCCTCTGCGGACGGCAGGCCGCTCAGGCGCTGCCGGATGAGGGACACGTCTGCAGGTTCATGTGAAACAACCAAAGGTTTTTAGATTCATGTCACAGGAGCCCCGAGGGGGCATGGGGAGTTTTGCTTTTGCGTTGAATTATCTGAAGTTTTATATCTTTTCCTTCAGGATTGAAAGGCACAAAAAACAGAAACTTTCCGTAAGTAGGAAAGAAATAAAATACATCCTAATGTGAATTATTTCTGAGTTATTATCGCAGGTCATAAATCATCTGACAGTTTTGATCGGTTGTGATCTAGTCTGAATGGTTTTCGTGTTCAGCTTCATCTCAGCTTTAACAAACTCAAAGATGCAGAGAATAAATCGATTTCAATCAGCTTTTGCACCAAAGACTTATAATCTTTAGATTTCTAAAAATTTGCATGAAAAAAAAAGTAAATTATGTGATTGATCTAAGATGGAAATTTGCTAGAAAAAAACCAGAAAAGAAATTTTTACAACAAATGTAAAAATTTCAGTTTCAAAAGTCAAAAATCTTCTTGTAAAAATTTTGAAATTTTGAGATTCATCTGTAAATTAGAAAATTTTGGCTTTCCAAGTTTTCTAGATTTCAAAGTCTTTGCTGTAAATTTACTCGTCTGTTTTTCTACGTTTCATTTTCCTTCAGGAAAAGCTCAGGCTGCCTCACCGGTCTCCATGTCACCTTTGACCTCCTCTGAGGTCTTTTCCATCTCGTTGTCCGTAGCAACCTGTCGGACCAAACATCACAAACATTATGACTGAACGCCGGCGGCGGGCGGCGGCGGGCGGCGGCGGCGGGCGGCGGCGGGCGCCTGACCCACCGGTTTGTCCAGGAGGCCGTTTGGCCGAGCCGTAGGTCCTCAGGATGTCCTGCAGCCGCCGGCTGAACTCCTCCATAGGGTCAAAGGTCGCAGAGGAGGCAGAGTCTGTGTCCAAATTGCCGGTTTCCAGGGGCGATGGCGCCAACAGCTCGGCTGCTTCCACTGACGTCTCCATCTCAGACACTAGAAAACATATTTTATTCTCTCTTGCATTGTTTTTTTTTACAGTCTTACTGTTTAGGTTTTATCATTTCTTATTCTCATTTTATATCGTTTTAATCTTCCTACTTTTATCTTCCCTTACCATTTCATCGTCGTCTTATTTTTAATATCTTATTGTTTTGCTGCTCATGTCAAATCTAATTTCTGCTTCATCTCCAGCTGCTGTTTTTCAGCTCTGACAGCTGCCCTCCTTATTTTATCTGTCAGGTTTAAAATTAGCAGTGACACACACACACACACACACACACACATACACTCACACACATACACACACACACACACACACACACACATACACACATACACACACACACACACACACACACTCACACACACACCACACACACACATACACACACACACACACTCACACACACACACACACACATACACCACACACACATACACACACACACACACACATACACACACACACACACACACACACACACACACATACACACACACACACACACACACTCACACACACACACACATACACCACACACATACACACACACACACATACACACACACACACACACACACAACACATACACACACACATACACCACACACACATACACACACACACACACACACCTGCTGCCTTGTGGTCTATTCTCAGGGTTTCCTAATATGGCGCCCTGCCGGCAGCAGGTTCGGTGTCGGAGGAACGCTCAGATCTCCTGCTGAGAATTTGACTTTTTTCTCTTTATCTGCTTCATATTGTTCAGATCCAAGCACCCCCACCCCAACTCGACCCCTGACCTCAGCCTTGACCCCCAATCTGGGGTCATAGATGTTTTGGTCCCACCCACACTTCTGTTAAACCACCAATCACAGCGTTTCCTGCAGGAGTTCAACATGTTGACAGAGTAACTTTGTAAATAACTTGTTTACCTGATGATAATGTTCCCAGCTGAAACTTTAAAACATCTTGAAACATATTTGGAGATTTAAATACACAACAGGAATATTTGTAGGCTTAAAGTCAGCCGGAAACAGCGAATAAAATCCAGTTTGGTGAAACAGAAACAGATCAGATCTGCAGGAGGAAACTCAGATAAACAAAGTGATGATGAAGCTGATTTTATAAAAACTCTCCAAATGTGAAAAACAAAACAGGATCAAAACTGAACGAACATTTAGAGTTTAGAAAGTCTTACCAGGATCCGGGTGGCGAAGGAGAGGAGGTGAAGCTCTGCAGGCAGAGGAAGGTCAGAGGAGGAAGAGGAGGGTCCTGCTGATGAGAAGAGCAACAGCTGATCCCCAAAATAACCTGAAGAGACCCGCTGAGGGCCACTGGGGGGCGCTGTCTCACCTCAGGGCCTCAGGGGGGCGCTGTCTCACCTCAGGGCCTCAGGGGGGCGCTGTCTCACCTCAGGGCCACTGGGGGGCGCTGTCTCACCTCAGGGCCACTGGGGGGCGCTGTCTCACCTCAGGGCCACTGGGGGGCGCTGTCTCACCTCAGGGCCACAGGGGTCGCTGTCTCACCTCAGGGCCACCGGGGGGCGCTGTCTCTGTGCAGCTGGGAATTAAACGTCAGCAGATGAAGCTTCCAGGTTCTGATCTGCCAACAGAAAAAGGTGAAAAGGCGAACAGAAACAGAGAGCATGATGGGAAACTGACTTCACTGGAGCAAATTACTGGATTATTCCAACAACAGGACGAGAAATTAAATTAGTGAGAAATAATGAAAAGATTTTCATTTTTGAGGGGCAATAAAAACCAATATGTACCTTAGCAAGTGTTTGTACATTGACCCAAAGCTGAGTTCGGTTCTGCTGGCCTTGAGTTTGAGCTCAAAACCTAAACATCTTCAAACATTTCCATGGAAATTAATGTTTTGGAAATGTCAAGAATTAGCTAAAATGACTTCATGTTAGCTACCGCTGACATGTAACTAAAACTGACGTACTCCATTCAGTTGGTTAGATTTAATTTTTAAATCAAAATGAACAAAAATACAAATTTATAGTAAATGCTACTGTTAGCCTGCTGGCTATTACTACCATATTGAGTAACATCAACTTCAGTATATTAATTTAGCTTTAAAATCTAAATCACACACAATGCAAACTTTAGCCTTAAAGATACTGTTAGCATAAATGCTACCACTAGCAGTGTATTAGCTTACATTAGCTAAATGTTTAGGTTAGCTAAATGCTGTTAACGTTGGGCGCTTTGAGGGAAAACAGCAGCAGGTCCAGAATACCTGAACAAAAGTTATGAAACTATGATGACAGCAAATCCTCAAAAACAGTTTCAGTTTTCAACACCTGACCAGGAAACAGGAAGTTCACCAACGTTTCCAAGCAGAGGCCTCAAGAAGAGCATTGACCTCTGACCTTTTTTTGCAAAGTCACAAAGATACAAAAACATGTAAAGAAACAAAAACTTTTAGAATGTTTTACTTCAGTAATTATTACATCCATTAAGCATAAATGCTAACTCATTACATCTGATTTTAATTGGCCATGATACATCATGTAATATATTATGACTTTATTATCCCATAATACAATATTTTATATTAATCACATCAAATTTAATTTTATTCCCAAAGTTCTCATGATTTTTTTGTGCCTTTTGTCAGAAACTTTTCCATTCTCGCTTGGAGGAAAAAGTGAATTTGATGAGAAAATCATAATCAGAAATAACATTTACATAAATTATCTTAACTTTTATTTTATCAAAAAACATGATTGAATATTAGATATATTTAAAATAAAAAAATTTATGGGATTCAAATTTAAAGTTTGCATTTTTTTCGTCATCTTCCTCCCCACAGCGCCCCCCGAAGGCCCCGCTTAGAAAACACTGCAATGGGAAACAGGAAGTTGTGCTTTTCTGTGCACTGTTCTCCCTGGTTCTGTTCGGTCCGGTCCGCTTTGTGCTGCAGAACTCTGAGGAGCAGCTGATTGTCTGTCATGGTCCAGTTCAAATGTGTCCAGACAGAACCGGGACCAACTGAGACAAGGTCCAGGTTCTGGCTCTGTTCCAGTCCAATCGTCATGGTTCTGGTCCCTCCTGGATCTGGTTGGAGAAGCAGCAGGAGATCCGTTTTGGGTTCTGAAACTCCAGACGCAGCAACCCGTCTTGGAGTGTTGCTTCCAAGTACAACCTGGACCCGACCGGGTTCTGGAGCCGCCCGGGCTTGGTTCTGGTTCTCACAGAGACGTTTCCCTGGAGATGCTGAGCGAAGGCTCCAGCTGGACACCGTTGGCTTGATGTCCAGCTGGACGGTCGCCATGGCGATCGGTGGGACGCTGCAGAGGGAAGGACAGGATTAATCTGGTTCCTGCAGGTCTCCGCGCCACCACCAGATGGCAGCAGACCAGACGGCATGTCTAGAATCAACCCAATTTCAAGGTTTTAATTCAGGAAGTAAAGCATCTTTTAGGTCAAATTGGATGAATTTGGTAACTAAAGGTAACATAGTTACTGACTGAGCTATAAAATGGCATTTTGAGGCTGGAGATCACATGATACCGGCCTTTAAAGAGTCTTGTTAGACACAGGGAATTTATGGTGGGAAGAAGCAGCAGGTCGCAGCTGATTGGTCAGCACAGGACAGTCTGTCTGGGGGACGCCGTCCCGTCCCAGCAACAGGCTGGACAGTTAAAGTTCACGTCCAGATTTACAGAGCGAGACGTTTTTCACCGCGTTGAGAGAAAAGAGTTAGACAGAGGAGAGGCTTTAAAGGTCGCTCACACCGAGGGCGACTTGACAGGAAGCTAATGTGTTAGCTAATGCTAACGAGCCAGAAATCTGCACAGGTTCAGTTCTGATCCTGAAGTTTCAACGTTCTGGACACAGAAATGTTTTTCTAATGCAGCAGCCATTTTAGCTAACATCTGAGAAACACGATAAAAATATAAACGCTTTAATTTTTATTTCAATAAATCTGTTTTGTTAACTCAACAAAGCTTTTTAATCAAACTGGGTTCATCTTGTGAATAAATATATTCCTACATAAAATGAAACTTGTTTCTTCTAACAGCAGCTCAGCTCTTTGGACGAACCTGCCCCTCCCAACATGGCCGCTGCTCTGACTAGTCTGGAGGAAACACTCACCGCCTGCAGGGCTTTGCTCTCCGTCGCCATGTTGACGTTGTGTCGTTTCAGCTCCGACTTTATTAAAGCTGGAAACAAAAACAAGTCAGAGCACCGCGGGCTTTGATGACATCATCAGTGATGGACCCGGCCTACCAGTCAGAATCACACCAGCAGGATCCAGGCGGACAGGAAGATGTTCCCAGCCAGCGGATCGAAGGCCGTGGTCAGCCGGCCCTGAATCAGAGTGAAGATGATGCCGAAGATCTGCAGGAGCAACGAGAACGGCAACGATAAATGTCTCTGGACGATAAATCATCCAGGAAGTTATCGCGATAAACAATAATGCTGCTGTTTTTAGATCATTTTCAAGTAATGTATTGATAATAATGCAAGAGCAATACAGTTTAAATTCTAATGAACATTTAACACTGAAGCATCCAGAGTGAGAGACGTCCCGTCTTCAGGGCACCTGTGCGAAAGCGTTGAGCAGCCCTGATGACGTCCCCTCAGACTCGGGGTAGGTGATCTCCACGCCGAACTCGAAGCCCAGAGGCAGGTAGCCGGTCATGAAGAACCTGACAGCAGAAGAAGAAGAAAGTTGTTTTCACTGCTCAGATCCAAGATTCATTAATCGCACAATGAGGAACAATTTTCCTTCAGTTGTTATAAAACTTTTGCTTCCTGATTTAACGACTTGAAATTGGGCCAACATGGCTCCTCTTTTAACCCTTTAACGTTTCTACCAGGTTTGCCCTGAGCAGCAGCTCCAATAATTGTGTTTGCTAATTGCTGCAGGCTAGTCTGAAGGAGCTGAGTGAGGGGAGCAGCTGCGCCTTGAAGGCGGGGCTAGGTCCACCCAGGCATTTTGGACAACTGAATGGTTACCATGCAGATGAAAGGATTTCTCAAGTCAAGCAACAGTCTAGGATTGTTTTTCATGAGGGAAAAACATTAAAAAACAATTTAAAGATAAAAAGTTGACTTTATGCGACACTGGCCCTTTAAAAGCTGCAAACACCTCGAGCTCTGGGATGATCGTCATTGTGATGTCACGATGACATCACTTGTTTCCGTTAAGATGTAAATGTCTGATGGCGTTTCCATAATGCCATCAGCAAGTGTGTTTCCACCTGAAACAACTTCCTGTTTCCAGTCTGTTTGCTGGACCTGAAAGGTCAGAGGTCAGAGGAACCGCCCCCTTCATACCCGAGGACTCCAGCTGTGAAGAAGACCAGGTAGATGTTGTTCAAGTCTAAGGTGAAGGTGAAGACCAGCATCCCCACGAAGGACAGCAGGTAGACGACGAGAGTGGTTATCCTGGCAACAGAGGACAGAAGATGATATATGGATGGATGGATGGATGGATGGATGATGGATGGATGGATGGATGGATGGATGGATGGATGATGGATGGATGGATGGATGGATGATAGATGGATGGATGATAGATGGATGGATGGATGATGGATGGATGGATGGATGGATGATGGATGGATGGATGATAGATGGATGGATGATGATGGATGGATGATAGATGGATGGATGATAGATGGATGGATGGATGGATGATAGATGGATGGATGGATGGATGGATGGATGATGGATGGATGATGGATGGATGGATGATGGATGGATGGATGGATGATGGATGGATGATGGATGGATGATGGATGGATGGATGGATGATGGATGGATGGATGGATGGATGGATGGATGGATGGATGGATGATGGATGGATGATGGATGGATGGATGGATGATAGATGGATGGATGGATGATAGATGGATGGATGGATGACTGATGGATGGATGATGGATGGATGATGGATGGATGATGGATGGATGATAGATGGATGGATGGATGGATGGATGGATGGATGGATGGATGGATGGATGGATGGATGGATGGATGACTGATGGATGGATGATGGATGGATGATGGATGGATGGATGGATGGATGATAGATGGATGGATGGATGGATGGATGGATGATGGATGGATGATGGGTGGATGATGGATGGATGATAGATGGATGGATGGATGGATGGATGGATGGATGGATGGATGATAGATGGATGGATGGATGGATGGATGGATGATGGATGGATGACTGATGGATGGATGGATGGATGACTGATGGATGGATGATAGATGGATGATGGATGGATGACTGATGGATGGATGGATGGATGGATGGATGATGGATGGATGATGGATGGATGGATGGATGGATGACTGATGGATGGATGGATGGATGACTGATGGATGGATGACTGATGGATGGATGATAGATGGATGATGGATGGATGGATGATGGAGGAATGATGGATGGATGATGGATAGATGGATGGATAGATGGATGGATGATGGATAGATGGATGGATGGATGGATGGATGACTGATGGATGGATGATGGTTGGATGATGGATGATGGATGGATGGATGGATGGATGGATGGATGAATGGATGATAGATGGATGGATGGATGGATGATGGATGATAGATGGATGGATGGATGGATGGATGATGGATGGATGATGGATGGATGGATGGATGGATGACTGATGGATGGATGATAGATGGATGATGGATGGATGGATGAATGGATGGATAGATGATGGATGGATGGATGATAGATGGATGGATGGATGATGGATGATGGATGGATGATGGATGGATGGATGGATGGATGGATGGATGGATGATGGATGGATGAATGGATGGATGGATGATAGATGGATGGATGATAGATGGATGGATGGATGGATGGATGGATGGATGATGGATGGATGGGTGGATGGATGATAGATGGATGGATGGATGGATGGATGATAGATGGATGGATGATAGATGGATGGATGGATGGATGATGGATGGATGGGTGGATGGATGATAGATGGATGATGGATGGATGGATGGATGATAGATGGATGATGGATGGATGATGGATGGATGGATGATAGATGGATGGATGGATGGATGGATGGATGGATGGATGGATGGATGATAGATGGATGGATGATAGATGGATGGATGATAGATGGATGGATGGATGGATGATGGATGGATGGATGGATGATAGATGGATGATGGATGGATGATGGATGGATGGATGATAGATGGATGATGGATGGATGATGGATGGATGATGGATGGAAGGATGGATGGATGGATGGATGATGGATAGATGATGGATGGATGATGGATGGATGATGAATAGATGGATGGATGGATGATAGATGGATGATGGATGGATGGATGGATGATGGATGGATGATGGATGGATGATGGATAGATGATGGATGGATGGATGGATGATAGATGGATGATGGATGGATGGATGATGAATGGATGGATGGATGATAGATGGATGATGGATGGATGGATGGATGGATGAATGATGATGGATATGGATGGATGATGGATGGATGGATGGATGAATGGATGATGGATGATGGATGGATGATGGATGGATGGATGGATGATAGATGGATGATGGATGGATGATGATGGATGATGGATGGATGGATGGATGAATGGATGATGGATGGATGATAGATGGATGGATGATAGATGGATGATGGATGGATGGATGATGGATGGATGATAGATGGATGGATGATAGATGGATGATGGATGGATGAAGGATGGATGATGGATGGATGGATGGATGGATGGATGATAGATGGATGGATGGATGGATGGATGGATGATGGATGGATGATAGATGGATGATGGATGGATGGATGATGGATGAATGATGATGATGGATGGATGGATGATAGATGGATGATGGATGGATGATGGATGGATGGATGATAGATGGATGGATGGATGATGGATGGATGGATGGGTGATAGATGGATGGATGGATGGATGATGGATGGATGGATGGGTGATAGATGGATGGATGGATGGATGGATGGATGATGGATGGATGACTGATGGATGGATGGATGACTGATGGATGGATGGATGACTGATGGATGGATGGATGGATGATGGATGGATGAATGGATGGATGATAGATGGATGGATGGATGGGTGATAGATGGATGGATGGATGGATGGATGGATGGATGGATGATAGATGGATGGATGGATGGATGGATGGATGGATGGATGATAGATGGATGGATGGATGGATGGATGGATGGATGGATGGATGGATGATGATGGATGGATGGATGGATGGATGATGGATGGATGGATGGATGGATGATGGATGGATGAATGATAGATGATGGATGGATGGATGATAGATGGATGGATGGATGGATGATGGATGGATGGATGGATGGATGATGGATGGATGGATGGATGGATGGATGATGGATGGATGATGGATGGATGGATGATGGATGGATGACTGATGGATGGATGGATGGATGGATGATGGATGGATGAATGATAGATGGATGGATGGATGATGGATGGATGAATGATAGATGGATGGATGGATGATGGATGGATGATGGATGGATGGATGATGGATGGATGGATGATGGATGGATGGATGGATGGATGGATGGATGGATAATGGATAGATGATGGATGGATGGATGATGGATGGATGGATGATGGATGGATGATGGATGGATGGATGGATGATGGATAGATGATGGATGGATGGATGATAGATGATGGATGGATGGATGATGGATGATGGATGGATGGATGATAGATGGATGGATGGATGATGGATGGATGATGGATAGATGATGGATGGATGGATGATGGATGGATGGATGGATGGATGATGATGGATGGATGGATGGATGATGATGGATGGATGATGGATGGATGGATGATGGATGATGATGATGGATGGATGGATGGATGGATGATGATGGATGGATGGATGGATGATGGATGATGATGGATGGATGGATGGATGGATGATGATGGATGGATGGATGGATGGATGGATGGATGATGATGATGGATGGATGGATGGATGGATGGATGATGGATGGATGGATGGATGGATGATGGATGGATGATGATGGATGGATGGATGGATGATGATGGATGGATGATGGATGGATGGATGGATGGATGATGATGGATGGATGATGATGGATGGATGATGATGGATGGATGATGGATGATGATGGATGATGATGGATGGATGATGATGGATGGATGGATGGATGATGATGGATGGATGGATGATGGATGGATGGATGGATGGATGGATGGATGGATGGATGGATGGATGGATGGATGGATGGATGGATGATGGATGGGATGGATGGATGATGATGATGGATGGATGGATGGATGGATGATGATGGATGGATGGATGGATGATGATGATGGATGGATGATGATGGATGGATGGATGATGGATGGATGGATGGATGGATGGATGGATGATGGATGGATGGATGGATGATGATGGATGGATGGATGGATGGGATGGATGATGATGGATGGATGATGATGGATGGATGGATGGATGGATGGATGGATGGATGATGATGATGGATGGATGATGGATGGATGGATGATGATGGATGGATGGGATGGATGATGATGGATGGATGGATGGATGGATGGATGGATGATGATGATGATGGATGATGATGGTGGATGGATGATGGATGGATGGATGGATGGATGGATGGATGATGGATGGATGGATGGATGATGATGGATGGATGGATGGATGGATGATGGATGGATGGATGGATGGATGGATGATGGATGGATGGATGGATGATGGATGGATGATGATGGATGGATGGATGATGATGGATGGATGATGATGGATGATGGATGGATGGATGGGATGGATGGATGGATGGATGGATGGATGGATGATGATGGATGGATGGATGATGATGGATGGATGATGGATGGATGGATGATGATGGATGGATGGATGATGATGGATGGATGGATGGATGATGATGATGGGATGGATGGATGGATGGATGATGATGGATGGATGATGATGGATGGATGGATGGATGGATGGATGGATGATGGATGGATGGATGATGATGGATGGATGGATGGATGGATGGATGGATGGATGGATGATGGATGGATGATGATGGATGGATGGATGGATGGATGGATGATGATGGATGGATGATGGATGGATGGATGGATGGATGATGATGGATGGATGGATGGATGGATGATGATGGATGGATGATGATGGATGGATGGATGGATGATGATGGATGGATGGCCTACTTGTAGGTTTTGGTGTGGTCCAACCAAAGGCCACAGAGGATGGACCCGACCATCCCGGCCAGAACCAGAGTCAGTCCGATCCGCCCGGTGTTCAGCTCCTGACCCTGAGGAACAGAGAGATGAAGGTTCTGAGAGGTTCTGGACCGACCCAGAGGGGTTCTTCTTGGTTTAGCCATGCGTTGATCTGCGTCTCTTGGTGCTGCTGATGTAACCCTGGCGATGGTCGGTGTTTACCTGGAAGTAATGGAGGATGATCTGGTTGAGCAGCGTGGAGACGGAGTAGAAGGATCCGGTCAGGATGCCTGCAGACGGCAGAGAGAACGTCAGAGTCCAGCTGTCCTGCCTCACCGCTAGCTACAACACAAGTTACCTCTGCTGATGCTAAAGGGCTATACTGACTCTGTATTTGACAGAAGCTAATGCTAAAGCGCTAACCAGTGGTTAGAGCTCTAGGGTTAGCGTAGCTAGCCTTTGAGCTAGCAGTGTTGGTTGTGGGAAACCTGGGCAACATGTGACTCTGGCTGCAGCTTTAAAAAATCATTCTTTTTTATCTGGACTGGAAATATCTCCATTATTGGAATTAATGTCAAACACACCTGCAGGTTTTCAGTGATTAATCCCTGATGTTTGATCAGATGGGATTAGTTTGTCTGTTTTAACACTCTGAGGTTAATCCCTGCAGGTCAGAACAATAGCAGAAACAGAAGACGCGAGAGTGGGATTTTCCTTCTCACCGTAGCTAACGAGCAGCAGAACGAAGGCTTTGTTCTTGATCAGGTTGATGATGGACTGTTTGTAGGAGTAATCGTCCAGCGGGACGCCCGGTAACACAGCCTGCGCCTGGCTGGGCGGCAGAGGCGGTTTGTCTTTTATCACTGCAGGACAGACAGAAATGAAACTTTGCTAAGATTTCTGTTCAAAGAGCCGTTCAGGGTAGCGAAGTTTCTCCATGTCAGATAAAACCCACAGAACGTCAAAACACGCAGGCTCAGCGTATTGAAGAACCCTACTGACTGGTAGCGGCATTCATCTTTTTTTAACTAATAAATCTCAAAAGTGTGGTGGACATCTGAATCTGAGTCAGAACTCTGTAGAAACTCCTTTGGCTGCAGGTCAGCAGCCTGCAGGTGACCTGAGCTGCAAATTCTCTGAATCTGACGACTTTCCTTTAACCACAGTGGCAGTTAGCATGACTTTGCATACTATTAGCATAGCATGACTTTGCATACTGTTACCATATCGTTCATCACTTCTCTCTGAGACCAAATCCAAAAACGGGAAGCTTTTAGTCAGAATGTGAGCTAACGGGTTAGATTAGTGCTAATGTGGGTAGAAATATGAAGTTGTGTGTGTGTGTGTGTGTGTGTGTGTGTGTGTGTGTGTACCTATGACTGTGAGGACAAAGAGGCCGGTGGAAACAGCTGCTGTCCCATAAAACATGATGCTGATGTTGCGACCTGAGGGACAGAAAATCACTTTTAGCTGCTTCCAGAAACCGTCCAATAAGAAGCAACTAATGGTTCCCAAGAAAACACAAGAAGTTCACATGTGATGGAAATAATTCAAGCAAATTATGAAATGATAAAAACATGTCTCACATTTTTAATGTAAAACATATTAAAAATGTTCCAAGTCAGTCGACAACTACTTGGGACGCACCGATCGGGTTTTTGCTGCCGAGTCCGATCAGCCATGAGACCGATCACCGATCACTACTGATCACTGATCACTACCGATTACTACCGATCACCTGGTTGTTAATTGTTTGCTTCAGGTATAAATGCTACTATATGATCTAATAAATTCACCTAATTTAGACACAAAATATGCAAAATATTTGCAGGTTGAAAACAGCAGCTATTCAGTCAAAAGGACAGAAAAACTTGCAATCAGTAAAATAATATTTAACAGAAAGGGTCTCACACAGATTATACGAGGCAAATAAATCTGCTTATATCAAATAAAGTCAAGAAAAAAAAAGAAACATTCATTCAAAGTTAAAAGCATCAAAATAAACAATCCTGAATTACTGAATCAAAACTTCCTGAGAGCCTGGCTAGCTGGGCTCTGATTGGCTAGCTGGTTAACATTAGCTCTGATTGGCTAGCTGGGCTCTGATTGGCTAGCTGGTTAACATTGGCTCTGATTGGCTAGCTGGTCAATGTTAGCTCTGATTGGCTAGCTGGGCTCTGATTGGCTAGCTGGTTAACGTTAGCTCTGATTGGCTAGCTGGGCTCTGATTGGCTAGCTGGTCAACGTTAGCTCTGATTGGCTAGCTGGGCTCTGATTGGCTAGCTGGTTAACGTTAGCTCTGATTGGCTAGCTGGGCTCTGATTGGCTAGCTGGTTAACATTGGCTCTGATTGGGTGTTTGTTTGTGTCTCAGTTCCTGCTGCAGCTCTCAGCAGCCGCTCGCTGTGACAGTTCACCCTCTGGAGGTTCAGCGACTCCGTCTGTGTCCAACAGAACCAGCGTCTCACTCCCTCAATTATTGTTGGGGTTTTTGGTTTAGCTTTCTGACCGGGATGCTAATCGCTGACTCCACAGTAAAACTTGGTTTCACATCATTTTCTTCCACTTTTTGGAAGCACACAGTCCAGATCCGGTTCTGGTTTTATGAGCGCCCAGTCCAGATCCAGTTCTGGTTTTATAAGTGCCCATTCCAGATCCAGTTCTGGTTTTATAAGCGCCCATTCCAGATCCGGTTCTGGTTTTATAAGCGCCCAGTCCTGATCCGGTTCTGGTTTTAGAAGCGCCCATTCCTGATCCGGTTCTGGTTTTAGAAGCGCCCAGTCCAGATCCGGTTCTGGTTTTAGAAGCGCCCATTCCAGATCCAGTTCTGGTTTTCCAGTCACCTGTTCGCTCCAGGTCCTCCGGTGTGTTTGGTACCAGAACTGGAGGTATGAGGAACCCGATGGCCGTCCCCAGCTAAAACACACAGATTAAAACACACAGATTAAAACACACAGATTAATGTAGAAACTTTTCCTTATCCGCTAAAAAATATGTTGAACATCTCAGAGTTGGTAAAAAAGCGTTACAACAAAAAGCCTGATCTGTTGTGGGATAATGAAGGATTCCCACCAAAAAACCATTTTGATGGAGGACTTAATTAAAATGATTTGATTTTTTAATCAAAGTATTAAAAAAATACTTTTAGAACCAGGTTATTACAGCTTTTTAACAATAGGGATGTGTACAGATTCTAAACATTTACTGAAATGTTTTAATTTATTTGCCAGGGTCGAAGATGAACCAACAGCACTATAAATATTGGAACAGGAGGGTCTGGGGGCCAGTGGCCCCCCACTTTACGGCCCTGGGGTCCGCTGGTCCCACAGAGACTCACACAGGCTGCACAGCTCTGACAGTCTGTGCGAAAACCTGGTCCAGATCTCCAGCTCTGAGATTCGGACCAAAAGGCTCCAGATCAGAACAGTCACCAAATAATTTACTGACATGTGCAGCTCCGGGTCGGGTTGGGTCGGAACCGGCCAGGAGCCCGTCTGACACCTGAATATCTGTCCATCTGTGACATTATCAATATTTTTGCCATAAAGCGGTGAGCACAGCCTGGCGTTGTTCACACTGTGCAGACTTGGAGTTTTTCCTTTAAGTAAAAAAAAGATTTATTTTTGGTTTTATTTTATAACCCTCTTTAAGATTGAAGAGAAAAAACTCTTTTATGTCAAAACATCATGTCTGTAGTTCACATCTGTGTGCTACATATAAAGTTCATTCCCTGGAGGGAGAGATGAATCTGAACTGAATTTACCATCTTTTCCATCTGTTGTCTTCAATGACAGCAAATATCTCACTAAAAAGAAAGAAACGATTATAAAAGTTAAAATGAATTGGTTATAAAATATTCTGCTAAAAAATTGAATAAAAACAGTGAACAAGGAAACTACATGTATAAGAAATTAAGATTTGTTCTTAAATTGTGCCTTAATAAAAGCAGTGAAGCTGTTTTAGATGATATATGAACGGTTTGTAATTTCGTTCAGGACGCGCGGTGGCTGCGCGCGCATCGCTCACCTGGTTGCCCAGCACGGCGGCGGCGCACGCGGTGGAAACCTCCCGCGGTCCGAACCACACCGAGGCGATGCGGGACGGCAGGCCGAGGATGAAGACCTGCGCCACGGAGCAGATGACCTGCGCCGTCACGGTGACCCCGAACCTGTCGGGGCTCACGCTGGCGCACTTGAGCCAGGCGCCTGCGCAGTTGAGCCCGGCGCCCAGCAGGGCGGTGAGCCGCAGACCGCGGCGGTCCAGCAGCCAGGTGGCCGGGAAGATGAGCGGGATGTAGGCCACCATGTAGACCATGGACAGCCAGTCCACCTTGTCGCTCGTGACGTCATAGTATCTGGTGAACACGTTGGTGATGATGCTGTAGTGGATCCACTGGAAGGCGTTCACGAGGGAGTACAGGCTGAACACGGCCAGAACCGCGAACCGCCGCCAATACAGCCTGGTTTCCGGCGCCCTCCTTCCCACCTCCTCCGCCTCTCCTCCGCCGGCGCCGGGCAGCATCGCCGCGCTCTCATCCGGTGGGACCTCCAGCTCCTCCCGGTCCCGGTGCCTGTCCCGGTGCCGGTCGGGCCCACCGCATGCCGGGTCAGAGCAGGATTCGGTGTCGGCTGGCCGCCGTGCGCTCTCCGGTTGCGGACTCTTTCTGACGGCCGTGATGTCGTCAGGTGCGCCGCTGTCCGCGTGCAGATGCTCCTGCACGAGCTCTGCCGCCACCATGACGTCACGGGTGAAGAACTGGAAGCGGAAGCGACATAAAAACAGAAAGCAGTTGTTTCCTCATCAGAAGACCCTGCGGCGGTCCGTCCTCCCGGAATGGATGATTAAAATCCCTCCGCAGCGGAGTCTAGTCCGCCGCCAGCATCCCGGCCATGCGGCCTCCGCTCAGCCGGTAACACCCGCCGGACCTTCCGACGCCGAGCAGCCAATGACAGAGCGGCTCCGCATCCGGTTAAATACCCGCATCTGACAGGGGCGGTGCGAAGTCCTGCGGGGCTCAGGGCAGAACAACATGGGGGGAGGGGCGGGGCAACAGAAAGTATTTATAAATGAAGTTCAGAAATACTCTTCAAAATAAAGGGCGCCATATTTTATTAGTTGGAATCAAGAATTCACAAATAACTAAAGTTATACAGAAATATCTCCCTCTATTTTTCAAAGATAAAGAGTCAAACAATTACACATATTTTTAAATTAATTTATTTACTAAAATAATGTGATTAGTGCACATTATTTAATTAGACATATATTTATTTTATTATTTATTTATTTAATGTTGACTCCACAAAAAGCTTGTTGCAATAATCAATAAATCAATTAATTGCATAACTTATTGTTTCTCTCATTCCACTAAAAACTGGATGATGAAAGTCTTCAGTTTGGCGTTTTCATAACATCGACTTCATCATTCATTTTATTTCTTGTTTCTGTTTGATCTTTTATTATTATTTGGGATATTTAAAATGTCTTCCAGTGTTAAATGTTCATCAGAGTTCAAAGTTTATTGGTCTTGTTTATTATGGCATTAACATATTAGTTCAAAGTCATGTAAGAACATATTATTAATGTTTATTGCAATAACTTCTGGATCAATTTATCATCTAATATAAATTTGTTTTGTTAGTAAATGAGACAAAACCCAACAGTTTCCTCCTACCTAAATAAAGCAATTATTGCAAATTTAAGTTTAGCTTCACAAACAAAATCAGCCCTTATTTTGAAGGGTTCTGTTGCCCTTTCAAAATAAAGCTCTCAGATTAAGGAAAACTTTAGGTTTTCTAAATGCATGTAGTTTAAACCTGGATGATGACAAAGGGATTTTGGTGTTAGCTCCAGTTAGTCTCCCATATGTCCAGCCCCATCATCTGCTCTAATCCTAATCCCACAGTGACCCTCAGGTTCCTCCACCTGCTGCACCTCAACACTAATCTGAGCCACAAACTTACTTCATTCATCGTTTGGTAGAAATGTATGAACTCACGTGAATCCCTCATGGATTTCACAGTGAGCATATTTACTTTCTGAATTCATCAAAATAAATTTGTTTTCATAGATTTCCTGTCATCAGCATCAGAGCAGGAAACAGCCGAGTTTCCCCATGAGCCTCTGGCTCATTATTTGCTCATGTGGTGGCATAAAACACGATCTTCATATTTACACTGAAAACAAACGAGCTGCCTTCTGACTTCCTGCTGGACCCGTCTGGACAGAACCACAGAACCACAGAACCGTCTTCATGTTCAGAAGGATGTTTGCATTGTCTCTGGTTTTACGTGCAGCCTCATTTTAAATGATAGTTTTTTCCTGTCAGTCATTTATGACTGAAAATAATAGAATTTAAAAACAAAAACTACAAACAGCATTAATATGGTGAGGAATGAGCAGGTCTGAACAGGCGATCCAACTTAAAGACCAGTTAACTTGTTACAACTCATCAAATTTAAATATAGAAATATATTACGTTTATTGAGTTGTCATGTTAAACAAACGTAGATTAATTAACTCTTTTTTTTAACATTCAGCTTTTTGGAATCGGTTTTCACTGAATCACAATCATGAACACATTCAGGATCCCTGCATGTTGTTGACGTGAGGAAATTCCGCGCATGCGCACAAGCTGGAGGGCAAAAGCACCCACAGCCGCGCCGCCGCCGTCAATAACTCCGTTAAGTCAGTCAGAGCTGCACATGTTGTTCATTTGATGCTGTTAAAGTCCAACTCAAAACCTTTCATTCCTGCGCAGCTCCACCAGACGGGTTGCCATAGCAACTGACAACAACGCCACATCAAAACAACAACACCGCAATATTTTCCTCAGAGCAGAACATCCCTCTGCTGCAGTAGTTTGGTTTTATGTTGAGATTATTAATCACTAATACTGTGGTTTGAGGTATGTGCTAGCTTCAAGGCTAGCTCTGTGGCTAGCTCTGTGGCTAGCTTCATGGCTAGCTCTGTGGCTAGCTTCATGGCTAGCTCTATGACTAGCTTCATGGCTAGCTCTGTGGCTAGCTTCATGGCTAGCCACAGAGCTAGCTTCATGGCTAGCTCCGTGGCTAGCTTCATGGCTAGCTTCAAGGCTAGCTCTGTGGCTAGCTTCATGGCTAGCCACGGAGCTAGCTCCATGGCTAGCTTCATGGCTAGCTCGCTGTTACTGTCTGTTCCTCTGCAGTGTCTGGGATCTTGAGCGCCCCCTGCCAGGAGGCCAGAGAACTGCCTGCCTCAACTCCAGACTGTTCTCTGGTTTCTGATCCCTGCTCAGCTCAAACACTACACACAGTTGGTGACAAAAAACATGAGCTAAATGATGGAAAATCAGTTCAAATATGAAATGTTTTATTGGCGGCGTTGACAGGAGGAGCTGCTCTCTGTGCAGTCAGTGATGTTGATCCGTCCAGGTGAGGCTCCGCTTCCTGCTGCACTAATGAACATTTGAATGGGAAAATGCGAAGATCCAGCGGTTTGGAAGGAAAAATAATCAAAACTGGTTAAGCTAAATAAAAAATAAACACATTACAGTACAAACCATAGGGTGAAAATAGAAATATAAATGATCTTATTTTTTATGGCAGGCTAGTCACTTGCCTCCAATGACCGCACAATTAGCTAAAACCTATTTAAAGTGTATTGTTGAATAAAAACTAACAACCGTGTGAATTCATAATAAAACATCAAATTAGAAGCGGAACTGTATTTAAATAAGCCTGAGTGACTCATCGCACGAATAAACTAAGGAAGCAAGCGGCTGCCATGGAAACGGGCGAAACAAATCTTCGGAGTGGAACATCTTTCTGCGTGAACGATCTTTGGAACGCAGGGCGGTTAGCAACACAAACTGAACCGTTGGGATTGTTTCTCTAATCCGGACACGGAGAAGGAAAGATGTCTGACAGGGAGCGGGTTCTGCTGGAGCCGAACATGCCGGCGGAGACCTGGTGTCGAGTGGAATCAGACCCCCGGGAGTTCTGGCAGCGGGCCGAGAGGAGGCACTACCGGAACCACCTGCGGACCAGCGCGGTGCTGCGGAGCGCGCTGGCCGGCGGACCGCAGCCCAGGGCGGCCTGCGCCCAGCGGCGGCTCCCGGTGAAGCTGCCGGAGCGGAAACACTTCGACCAGAGCTGTAAGGAGCTTCCGGTGCGGAGTCTGACCGCACAGTGAAGTTTGAATAAGATGACACACAATCCGTTACTTTAGTCCCTGCTCACCAGAACCGGCTGCAGTGAAACCAGGCAAAACACCCCGAAGCTACATGAGTCTGAAATATGTCAATATGCAATACTTTGAATAATACTTGTAACAAAACACAAAGCTAATCCTGACACATGCTACCGTTACTGGTTACTATGGCAACCACTAACCAGCAAATTAATTTATTTCCGGTTCGGAGAAAAGAATCGAACAGAATTCAACTTTATTGTCATTGCACTGTCACATGTATAAACAAACCCATTTCTAAAGGTGTTTATTTACATTTATGTGAATATTACATTTTCTGCTCATCAGTTTTAACAATGAATAAAAACACATGTCACCCATTCCTGTTTATTTTCCCTTTGCTTCATTTCCAGATAAATGCCACCTAGTGCAAACAGAACGACCAGAACCAGAACCCAGGATCTCCTGCAGCAGTCAGTTGTGTAACCAGTCCAAAGAGGCCTCTGACTGAAGGCTGTCTGTAAAGTCCAACTGGCACATAAGATGTTTCTCTATGTATTAAATCATTGAATCCACACTGAGCTGCATGGTGTTGCTGGAAATGAAAGAACATTTAAAAATAAGTTAAAACAGATGGAAACTGAACATTATCTGAGGAAACGTTTTTGATAAACTTTTATTCTGCTTCAGATAAAAGTTTTCAGTTTTTTGGCTAAATGATAAACAAAAAGCAAAGTTGTTTCATAAGTTCATAGGAAAGTGAGAGTATTATGGTATTTACTCTCATCATCTGCTGGCTCTGCTGAACGGTCTGTTGGCGTTCTCGTCGTGTCGTCTCGGACCGCTTCTGCCGTCTGACCTTTGACCTTAGCGATGTAGCTGCAGGACAGGGCGACATTAACCAGCTCGACGGGGACAGGAAGAAGTCGTTGTCTCTGCGGCTGCTGACTCACTTCCTGTGAAGGCCGAGGGCCGCGGGGTCCGTCTGGATGTGACCCGGAGGGATCCGCCGGGTCGGCCGGTCTCTGTCAGAACGCCTGGAGCCCCGCCGTTTATTCCGACTGCTAAAGAAACATCTCAGTTATTCTCGTGCTAAAGCCCAAAGGTCAGGGTGGACACAATGTTTAAAGGGCCGGCATCAGGACAAACTGACTTTTTCATGTTTCCTTCACATTTTCAAATTTTTCCCTGCAGCGACACTTTGATACTTTTATGTTTGAGAAAAGATCAAAGTTCATTTACAGACTGAGTAGGTCTCCTGGATTCGTCTCCACTAGGATTCAGTCCAGCTTTTCTAAACTTTTGTTCGGCAGCAGACAGAGACGCCTGTTCTCCTCCCAGGGAAGAACTTCTCCTCTCCACCAGATGTTGGTGGACATGGTGACCCGTCCAGGTGACGCGTCTTACCTGCTGGTTCCTGCAGACAGCAGGAAGGAAAGAGAAGAACCAGAGCCGCCGCCGGCTTCCCAGAGAAGTTATGCAGCAGCGCTCTGCTGATCCCTGCAGGGGGACAGAGTTGGAGGACGGAGACATCCGTCCTGCAGGGGGACGTTCCTGTAGCGACGGTCGATTATTGGACCGGTTAGATTAAAGCGATGAGCAGCCATTTATGGAGTGATGTCATCAGTTAGCTCACACAGGCAGGTTCATCTCCATGGCGACGTCCAGCTGTCCGATGAAGCCAGAGCAGGAAACTAAAATATTCCTGATTAGTAATTTATAAGACAGAATAAACAATTAGGTCAGGAATAAATGTTTTCCCAAAACTATCTGGATCAAATGCGGATCCATCCATAAAATCCGGATCACGCCGGATGCTGATGACGCTCTGCTTTACGTTTGTTTTCAAAGGTTTATCGTCTCTGGTGACCTTTGATTCCACAGTGAATCAAAGTAGTGAGAGAAGAAGCAGATTATCAGAGCAGGAAGCTGAGTGACGCTTCCAGAAAAATCATTTGGATTTATCAATAATCACCAGAGAGAAACATCATTATCTTTACCAGACTGTAAGTAAAATATGGATGGATGAATGGATGATGGATGGATGGATGGATGATGGATGGATGGATGGATGGGATGGATGGATGATGGATGATGGATGGATGTTGGATGATGGATGGATGGATGATGATGATGATGATGGATGGATGAATGGATGATGGATGATGGATGGATGGATGGATGATGGATGATGATGATGGATGATGGATGATGGATGGATGGATGATGATGGATGATGGATGAATGGATGATGATGGATGATGGATGGATGATGGATGGATGATGGATGGATGATGGATGGATGGATGGATGAATGGATGATGATGAAGATGATGGATGATGATGATGATGATGATGATGGATGGATGATGATGATGATGATGGATGGATGATGGATGATGGATGGTTGGATGATGGATGGATGATGGATGATGATGGATGGATGGATGATGGATGATGATGGATGGATGATGATGATGGATGGATGATGGATGATGGATGGATGATGATGGATGGATGAATGGATGATGGATGATGATGATGATGGATGGATGATGATGATGGATGATGATGAAGATGATGGATGGATGAATGGATGATGGATGATGGATGGATGATGATGATGATGGATGGATGATGATGATGATGGATGGATGATGGATGGATGATGATGATGATGGATGGATGATGATGATGATGATGGATGATGATGATGATGGATGGATGATGATGATGGATGATGATGATGATGATGGATGGATGGATGATGATGATGATGGATGGATGATGATGATGGATGATGATGATGATGATGGATGGATGAATGGATGATGGATGATGGATGGATGATGATGATGATGGATGGATGATGATGATGATGATGGATGGATGAATGGATGATGGATGATGGATGGATGATGATGATGATGATGGATGATGATGATGATGATGGATGGATGGATGGATGATGGATGGATGATGATGATGATGGATGGATGATGATGATGATGATGATGGATGATGATGATGATGATGGATGGATGGATGATGATGATGATGGATGGATGATGATGATGATGATGGATGGATGAATGGATGATGGATGATGGATGATGATGATGATGGATGGATGATGATGATGATGATGGATGGATGGATGGATGATGGATGGATGATGATGATGATGGATGGATGATGATGATGATGATGGATGGATGATGATGATGATGGATGGATGATGATGATGGATGATGATGATGATGATGGATGGATGAATGGATGATGGATGATGGATGGATGATGATGATGATGGATGGATGATGATGATGATGATGATGATGGATGGATGGATGATGGATGGATGGATGGATGATGGATGGATGATGGATGGTGGATGGATGGATGATGGATGGATGATGGATGATGGATGGATGATGGATGGATGGATGGATGATGGATGGATGGATGGATGGATGGATGATGGATGGATGGATGGATGGATGATGGATGGATGAATGATGGATGATGGATGGATGGATGATGGATGGATGATGGATGGTGGATGGATGGATGATGGATGGATGGATGTATGGATGGATGGTGGATGGATGGATGATGGATGGATGGATGATGGATGGATGGATGGATGGATGATGGATGGATGAATGATGGATGATGGATGGATGGATGATGGATGGATGATGGATGGTGGATGGATGGATGATGGATGGATGGATGTATGGATGGATGGTGGATGGATGGATGGATGGATGGATGGATGGATGATGGATGGATGGATGATGGATGGTGGATGGATGGATGATGGATGGATGATGGATGGATGGATGGATGGATGGTGGATGGATGGATGGATGGATGGATGGATGGTGGATGGATGGATGATGGATGGATGGATGAAAGTCTAGATGTTTTCCAGACTCTTCCAGGTTTTCTTCTGAAAGCTGGAATTTCTTTTCCTTCTCACAAATAAATAAAAAAATAATCATTTAATCTCTTAACTAATTTCTAATAATATAATAGATTTTTATTGTGTTGTAAATATAACGGAATAAATGAGCTGAGTTTTAGTGAACATAGCCAAGTTTTTTCCCAGAGTCGGTCGCAGCGTGGCGTTCCTAAATCCCTTCCAGCTTAAAGAACAAGCAGCGCTCCCAGCGTGGCGTTCCCAGCATGCGTTCCGGTCCAGGTTTTCCTCCCCAGGTGTCTCGACACCGATACGCTCCACGTATTGACTTTGCTTTATTCAAAGTCAATACAGCAGAAGTGAAGTTTGTTGTGACCTGAGGCCGGATACTGCGCTGACCCCCGGTGGCCTGCAGGGGGTGCAGTCAGAGACACGGAACCACCAGGTCCGGATATCTGTGGGAATGACCCAGGAGGTGATGACCAGCTGGAGGAATCCTGACAGCATGAGGCCTGCTTGTACTTCAAACTACGGTTTGTTTCTGTTCTGGTGCTCAGAGCAGCTGGACTGGAAACCAGAACCTCCTTCGGGTCGGGAGGTTTCTGTAACATGAACCCTGCAGATGGAGAATTCCTCCTCTTCTCTGTGGCCGGAGTCTTTCCCCTGCACACATGGAGGTTTTATGGTTGGAGGAGCCAAAGTCATAATGTGGATCTTATTGAGCAGTTTTTTCCTGCCTGCTTCTGTGGATCACATCTGGAAGATCCTGCAGAAGAGAAAAGAGACGGCGGAGATCTAAAGTCTGCAGACTGCGCGAACTTTTCCATGTCTGGTTCCGCTAACAGAACACAAACAGAACCAGGAACTGGGAACCGGACGGCGGCCCGGAAGGATGAACCAAACGCAAACAGAAGTTATTTAAAACAAAGTTATTACATCATAACTTCCAAATTAACAAGAAATTAGCTTATTAAAATGTCATCCATTGGTTGGTTTAGATCAGAGATTTATGTGTTGGAATGGCCTAGTCAAAGATTATCCAGGTTATTAAAGTGAAAGGATTAAAACACACTTTACATGTCAACATTCCATATTTTTCCAAACTCAGTTTTCTAAAGAACATAAAAGTGAGCTTAGACTTAAATAATTGAATGTTGGTGCTCTGATACCATCTAGTGGCCGGAGTGTGAACTACAAGCGTTTCATGGAAGCTGATGTGAACAACAGGCAGTGAATCCTGAGCTGGATGTGCAATAAAGTATAAATATTGAGGTCTAAAAATGTCTTAAAATAAACAACATTTAGTCAAAATCCTACAAATGATTACTTATTAGGTTTATAATACTTTTTGGCAACACTAGGCAGCTAATAAGTGGAAGTGTATAAATATTATTACAGCTCCTTTAAATCAAGAAATTTCTTTGAATTACAAAACACAATTGATAAATAATGACGGAAAAAATATGAACCAACCTTAACAATACACTTCACCATGAAACAGGAGACAGAAGTTTCTAGAACAGTGAAATTATCCTTCAGGATTTAGCTGCATTTAAACTGAAAATCAATGATTGTTCAAATTTATGTTTATATTAAATTTATAAAATTGATTACATATTGCAACAGGGGCTCGGAGCTCATTGAAGTTGCAAGATTCAAATTCATAATTTCTAATAACTTTAACATCTGACTGGCACAAAACGACATGCCGTGCATTTTTTCTGCACTGTGATATAAATTCAGACATTAAGGGTTCAAATGTTTTCCATCCTCTTCTCTGCTTCCAGCACTGAAATTAAAACATTTCTCCTTGTTTTGGGCTATTTTTGTTACGTTTTCCAGAAAACGTAACGTATTTTGGGCCTAACCTCCTGGAACTGAGGGGCTGAAATGTGACAATGACAATCAATGAAGCCATAATCCATTAGCAGGGTGTCAACATCCAGTCCTGGGGGCCCGCTGTCCCGGGGGCCCGCTGTCCCGGGGGCCCGCTGTCCCGGGGGCCCGCTGTCCCGGGGGCCCGTTGTCCTGGGGGGCCGCTGTCCCGGGGGGCCGCTGTCCCGGGGGGCCGCTGTCCTGCAACTTTTAGATGTGTCTCTGCTGCATCACCTGAATAGAATAATTAGGCCATTAAGGCTCTGGAGAACAAGGAGGAGGTAATTCAGCCATTTCATTCCTGTGTTTGTACCTGTGTACATCAGAAAACTGCAGGACAGCGACCGGCCCTCCAGGACTGGAGTTTGACACCCCTGAATGGATTGTAAACTATTTAAAATGAATTGTCTAAATTATTTTTGTAGCTTATTTAAATTAAACTATTTAAGGTGAATTTTCTAATTTAAGACTGTTGCAGGTTGTTTTTATATGTTTGTCTGTTTTGATTAGAATTGTTGGTGGTTTATTTGTAATGTTTTGGGATTTTGTTTTGTACCTCCCGGGCTGCCGTAGATAAAGAAGGCAGGCCCGATAAAACCAGGAAATTCATTGAACCAATTGAAGTGGAAAGAATCAATTATAATACCAATAGCTAAACCAGGGAAAGATAAATCAAAACCAGAAAATTATAGGCCAATAGCTTTAACATCAAACTTATGCAAAATAATGGAAAAAATGATTAACAATAGACTAGTATGTTATTTAAATAGTAAAGGATATATAGCAAAATATCAAAGTGCATTTGGAAAAGAGAGGAGAACTAATGATCCAATATTATGTTTAGAGCATGAAATTAGAAACAAGTAAATAAAGAAAGTTTAGTGGCAGTATTTTTTGACATAGAAAAAGCATATGACATGATGTGGGTAGAGGGATTATTAATTAAATGATATATGTTGGGCAATAAAGGAAAGATATTTCAATGGATTAAAGACTTTTTAATAAATAAAAAATACTAGTTAGAATCAGTGAATATACAGTGGAAAATGAGAATAATAAGTCCGTTATTGTTCTCAATTGTGATAAATGATATTTTTAAAGGCATTGGAAAAGAAATGGGATGTTCACTTTTTGCGGATGATGGAGCGATTTGGAAAAGAGGGAAAAATTTAGGTTTCATTGTTAAAAAATGACAAGATTATTGAAATAGAGAGATGGGCATTGCAATTTTAAGTTTTCAGTTGAAAAACGAAAGTAATGATATTTACTCAAAAAAAAATAACAAGGAAGTAAAATTTAAATTATATAACCAAGAATTAGAGCAAGTAAATCTTCATCAAATAAATAAAACCAAACTCAAGTGCTGAGGAGCTGCTGCACATTACAACAGCAGAAAATGTGACTTTTTATGAAGGAAAGGCCCAAATAAATACACCACACAGCTAACGGCTAACAGCTAACAGCTAAATTTCCGCTGCCAACCGGAAGTTGGCAGCGGAAATCAACATGAAACAAACAGATCGGGCGGCAAAGATGGAGTCTTTCCCGAGCCTAACATCTCGGCATGAAGACCCGGAGCAGGACTTCAGGGTTCGGCTGACGTCCAAGAGGAAAACCACCGAGCTGATGGTCCGAGGCTGCGAGCTGCTGCGGAGCGTTTTGGACGGACAGCCGGACATTCCCGAGGACAGCCGAAGGGTTCTAGTGCAGGAGCTGCTGGCCGTGAGTCCCGCTGTTTTTCTGCTGACTTTAAGCTTCACTGCCGTTTATCCAGATTTATGTAACAGGATCCAAACTAGTCGGTTCTGAAAGAACTCCGCCTTTGTTGCTGCTAATATTCGGCACCAAAATCCGGTCAAGAAAACTGATCTTTAATCTTGGATCTTGGAAGTTCTAACAAATTGGTGGAACAATGTTTCCCGAGCTGGGATTACAAACCTGGAAGAATTCCTATGAATTCTCCAGTTTTTAAGTGAATTAAATCGATAACAGCCAATATGGTACCAAGTATCACAATGTTTCATTCCGTCTGAGGGTTGGAAGGTTTAGCCTGATGCCAAGCCTAAATGTTGGCCATGTTATTAGCCATGTTATTAGCCATGCTATCAGCCATGCTATTAGCCATGTTATTAACCATGTTATTGGCCATGCTATCAGCCATGCTATTAGCCATGTTATTAACCATGTTATTAGCCATGTTATTAGCCATGCTGTTAGCCATGTTATTAGCATGTTATTAACCATATTATTAGCAATGTTATTAGCCATGCTATTAGCCATGTTATTAGCCTTGTTATTAGCCATGTTATTAGCCATGTTATGAAGCTGAATAGAGCTGCTTTGTGTTTGGTGTTCCATAAAACACAATTCTGCTGAGAAATTACTGTAAAATTTCTTTTACAGTTTTCTGCTGACTTTTCTGCTGACTTTAACCACCGAGCCATGTTATTAGCATGTTATTAACCATATTATTAGCAATGTTATTAGCCATGCTGTTTGATACTCTTTTTGATACTCAAAAGAGTATCAAAATATTTTCTTAACATCAGACTGGAGAGTTTTCTGCTCAAAGTTGTGATGGGAGCCAATGAGCGGAGTGTTGTTGTTTCCTCTCGGTTTCTTTGGGAGATCCAGAATCCAGCCTCTCATTCATGGATCCAGTTTGTCCTGGTTGTCAGGTTTTGTGTCTGAATGTTTGTGGATCTCTGCAGAACTTTGAAGCTGCTGTGAGGCTCAACGTGTTGGTGGACGGACAGCCGTGGGACGAGGCTCCAGACCTGGAAGGTACTTCCTGTCCATCCCGCCGGTCCGGTTCTGGTTCCTCTGTGTCTAACACGGATGTCCTCCTCAGATGAAGAGGCGATGGATCTGGAGAGCCACCTGGACGACAGCATCCTGGACACCACATGGAGGCGCCGCTCCTGCCCCAAACGGATCCTTCCCCATGTGGTTCACGCCCTGAAGGCCCAGCGGAAAGTTCTGGTCGGTTCCGTTCAGCCAACAAGCTCACGTTTCAGTCACTTAGAGCAGTGCTTCTCAAATAGTGGGGCGGGCCCCCTTTGGGGGGCGCGGTGCGATACCTGGGGGGGCGTGTGATCCTGGGGAACAGGCTTTTTTTTGGCCGAACTAGTATAAAGTGTAATTGCGCACAGTAGGCGGCAGTGGCGCTCTCATTGTTACTTCTGTCACGTTTGCGACAGTGCAACATTTTACGACTTACAAGACAACAGGTTTGCCTTGGTTAGCAGTGTTAAGTCAACAAAAAGCTCCGACTGCGTTCTGTCTATGGCCTCCGTTATTCAACAACCCCCAACATGAAAAAGTTTTTCACAGGGATGAAAAGAAAAGCGGAGAGAGACAAAGATAATGAGACAACAGAAAGTCAACCGAAAGCTAAGAAGAGGAAATACGACGAAGCGTATTTAGCGCTTGGCTTCACTGTGACTACAGTTGGAGAAGAGGAAAGACCGCTGTGTTTGCTGTGTCTAAAAATGCTCGCAGCGGACAGCATGAAGCCAAATAAATTAGCGCGTCACTTAAATACGTTACATCCCAATCACGCCGATAAGCCGCTAGAGTTTTTTCAGCGAAAAAAAATGTTAATAAGGAAAAAATGTTATGCAGAGATGGATAGTCACGGTGGGGAGTGGAGGGCGCGAATAGTTTTTCTTCTTGCTAGGGGGGGCGTAACGGAAAATAATTGAGAAGCACTGACTTAGAGGAACCTGCAGGTTGCTTTCTCTGAGCACAACTCATGTGGTGCGTTCAGGGACCAGGCTGTAAGTTTGGAAAGTAGGTTTGAACAGGTACAAATTACAGCCCGACATAAAACACTCGGTGAGCCTGAAAGGAAAACATGAGAATTATGGGAAAAAACCCAGCAAGTTACAGTTAGCAAAAGGTTTTATGGCAGAAACTGTTTCTGGGAAATAAGCAGCAAGTATCTCTGAAGTAACCATTGAGGCTGTCTTATAGGCAACGATCACATATTGGTACGTTAGTTGAGTTATTTTGGTGAAATGAAACTCTTCCTGTTTGTGTTTCAGGGTCTGTATGAGACGTCAGTCCAGCCTGCAGAGCTGCACAGAGATCCAGATCTAGGTCCGTTAGACTTCCTGAATCTGTTTCTGATCTTTGGTTGCTTTAACAAAGCTTGAAAATAAATATCTCAGACAGGCTTTAATAGGAAAATGTGTTCTTGTTTCTTGGTTTGGAGGGAAAATCTTGTTAATTCACTGTTCCACCAGCGGAGGGCGCTCTCTGTCAGAGACATTTCAATCTGCTTCAAATCTTTACTCAGATTTTTAACTTTTTGGCCAAAAATAGAAATGAGATGAAGCAGATATTCTGTAATAATTGTAACCAAGCTGACCTGAAACAGGCTGGCTTTGTTGCCGGGCAGATTACGTCCAGCTGGCCGAGCAGCCGCTGCACCAGGAAGGAAGAACTCAGAGCTGCACAGATGTGAAAGTTTCTCTGCTGCTGAAGTGAAATCCTGAAATGTTTCAGCACTTCTTCTTCTTCACAATTTTCAGGATGCAGAGGAAACGGATGTAGTTGCAGGTTGCCTTGGCAACAACAACAAAAAAAACAGTTTATTTGCAGGAGTCAAATCCATCAGATGACAGTGTGTTGGGTCAGAGGTCACAGTCAAAGTTAATTGACCTTATTAATCCATAAGTGGCCATTTTCTTAAAAACAAGTTAGATGTGACTCTCAAGCACAACATGAAGGAGAAAAGTTTTCAATACGCTAAAAAAACAAAATATTGTTCAACTTAAGATGTTTGTTGAATATTTATATTTTCAAACCGAACCGTGAAAAGTGAATTTATCACCTGAAATCAGATCTTTATTTCTGTATCAACCGGAAAAGGTTTGAAAAAATAATTCTGAATTATTTCTCAAAATTTTGACTTTTTCTCAGAAGATTAAAATAAATTAAGATACTTTTTAGTGTCTCTAATCCGCTTCTGTGGTTTAAGGTTGACCAGCGGCGCCCTCTGCTGGCTGGTGACCAAACTCCAACACCAAAGTACAAGCTAACGGATGATGCTCGTTAATCGATTGAATGAATTTTATTCTAATTGATGGTAAGTGGACAAACTGTTGGCCGCTGCTCACCGGTCGCTCCGTTTCCTCCAGAGAGCATCATGAGCGACGTGTCTGCTGCGGCTCCCGGCGTGGTGAGGCAGGCCATCCAGGTGATAAAGGTATGGACGTCTGCAGCCGTCTGCACCGTCAGGCTGCGTGCTACAGCCTGACGGTGCGTCTGTCTCTGCAGGCCATCGACGCGCTGCAGCAGCAGGCGGCCGGTCTCTGTGAGATCCTCGACCTGAAGCCCAGCGCAACCTCGCTGCAGATCCACAGGGAGGTGCTGGGCGCCATGCCGCCTGCAGGGGGCGCAGGCCGGCGGCCCCTGGCGGTGGCGCAGGGCTACGAGGACGACGGCCAGGGGGCGCAGTTCAGCGAGGAGGAAGAGGAGTAACACTTCCTGGAAACCACGGAGATCAGGAACTGTTCAGCTCCAGGTTTCTGGTCAAATGAACATTAATCACAGGTTTTTTTTACTTTACTTTTTTTTTTTATGAAAGTGATCAATAAAAATATTTTCTGCGTCTTGGTGAACCAGAATCGTTCGTTCAGCTGATTATCAACCGTGGTTAGCACTACTTTAGCATTAGCTTTGCTGAAGTGCTGCATTAAAAAATATTTATATTTTTAAAAACTTTTAATTGTTCTGAATTTTATAAAGATGCAGTTTTCCTTTTTGTAATTCGGGTGAATTTTTTATAGAAATTAAGCTTTCATACAGCAGAAACTCTGACAGCTGCAGAAAATAAGAGTTTCTGAAGAATCTGGTGACTTTTACTGAAAACTTTCCTTAAGGAAACATTTTTCCAAGACAAAGAAATCCTGGTTTTATTGCTCAGAAATGACTTTTTTTTTTTTTTTAACATATTTATACAAATTATTTGAATGTGTCAAAACTCTGGTGTCTATTATTCCTGATGCTCCAGGAAACTTTGCAGGTTTTTCAGTTTCTAATAATTAAACTTTTTAAACTGATGTGGCAGAAAAACGTTTCTTTGCTTTTCTTCATTTCGTCATGTTTGGATGAACTGAACTTCACAGATTAATCTAAAATATTGGTCTGTTTCTGGAACCGGAGCGGATCTCTAGACTTGCTGCAGTCTGGACCCGTCCCACCTGTGGGGTCAGAGGTCACCGGAGTCACCTGACTTCTGGAAACCAGAGTTTCTGTGTAGCGTGGGAAGTGAAAGGCGATGTGAAACCGCTGCAGGTCCAGTCCGCGCCGCGCCTCCTTCTGCTCCGGATCGTCGTTCTGAGCGCTCAGCATGTCGGATCCGTCCAGCCAGCAGCAGCCGGGTCGGGCCGCTCACCTGGGCGGCGGATGGACGGTAAGGTCGCCGTAGAAACACACCGGCCTGGTTCTGGGCCCGGTTCTGGGCTGACGGTCTCTGATTGGCTCAGGGTCTGAAGGACGAAGGCCGGAGGATGAAGAGGAGGGAGAAGAACCGAATGGCCGCTCAGAAGAGCCGCAAGAGACAAACGCAGAGGGCCGACAGCTGCACCAGGTCAGACTGACCTCTGACCTCTGTGACCTGCAGGCCTCTGGTGGCTTTAGGATTCTTTCCATCAGGACAGGGAGGAGACTCACATGGCCGAGAAACTGAATGCAACCGCTTCTCAGCGCCAAAAAACAGAAAATATTGAGAAGACAAAAACGCTCTATGGTGCTCAGATGTTCAGCGGTCTAGTCAAAGTCAGATCTGTTTCCTCATGTTTGCAGCCGTTCAGATGTTGTTTCTCTCAAAGCTAAAACCTCAAAGTTGAAATGTTTGATGTTTTTTACTGTAGAACAATAAATGCATCTGGTTTCAGGCCTGCGAGCTGCTGGAGCAAAGAACAGGAAGCTGAAGAGAGAGGTACTTCCTGTCTGCCAACAAACTACTTCCTGTCAATGAAATGTTTCATTGCTGCATTAATTATAAATAACTGAACTAATCAACTCTTCTGGCTGAAAGGAAACATTTCTGTATGATTTGAACACAAGACTAAATATTTACAACATTTGAAGAAAAAATATTATTTATAATTAAACCAGGAATGAAATATTTTACATTTACAGTTTAAAATAATGACATATATTATCAAATAATTTTATTTAATATTTTAATGATATTTTTTGTATCAGTTTTATTTATCTATTTCTCTATTATGATCTATTTATTGCATTGTTTTCTAAATCCATCATTCAAATATTACTATTACCTTTTATTTAGTATATTTTATTTATTTTACTCTTGTTATTGATTTATATTGTTCTTTATTTTATAATCTTTCTGACTGATTTTTCACTGTTTTGCCGGCCATGTGACGGCGATGTGTTCCTGCCTCCAGGTGGATTTCGCTCTCTGAGGAGCAGAACTTCCTGTCTGAGGCTCTCAGAGCTCATGAACCTTTCTGTCCCATCATGCATTGCTCCTTCACCTCCTCCAGCCTGCAGCCTGACGCCGCGGCTCGCGCAGTCTGAGCTCAGTGACCTTTCTGACCTTTCACATCTGGATCCAGCTGCCATAAAATGAACTAACTTGCCACCAGAGGGCGCCGTTTATCCTCCATCAGCTGCTGGCAGGCGGCGGGACTCTGCTGCCCCCTCGTGGCGGTGGGGAGTTATCACATCCAGGATTCTTAATGTCATCAGAATGTATAAAAATAAATTAATTGGTCAATAAAAATGACTGAATAAATACATTCCGGACGTTTTTATTCTGTTGATTTTTTTAGTGAAATAAAAATTATAAAAAAAATTATAAATTGAGATTCATTTAAATCTCAATTTATAATTTTTAAAATAACATCTCACTGTGTTCATGCTCACCAAACTCTAAGCTGGAAATTTACTTTCAAACTAAATCTTTGGTTTTAGTTCACCTGGTGAACATGTGACCTCAGTGATGAAAGCCGTTTTCTCTCATTAGAGGCTAAATAACCAGGATTCTGGTTTGAAATGTGTGACTCTTCAGAGTAAAAGCAGCTTTTGGCATCGATTTGCGCGGCTGTGAGGTGGATGTTTACTCTGGAATGTGGTCTGATGATGAAACCTGATGTTGCAACTGTTTCATCACATCTGTGGTAAACTGCGTTTGAATTAAAACAGTAGAAGAAGAAACTCTTCCCAGCAGGGCGCTGCGTCACCTGCTGCTGTTCTGAGAACTGAGGAGGGATTTCTCCTGAAGAGCGCCGGCGCTGCCGGCACCAGGCCTGTGGGAGGTCAGAGGTCACACACACAGGCTTTCCACCATAAATAAAACCATCACAGCCTGTAACCTGGATTTATGCAGCAAGCATGAGGCGACAGCAGAGAGAAAAACCAGGAAAAACATCCAAATGTTCAGTTAACTAAATAGCTAGCAGGCTAAATGTTTAGCAGAACCAGAACCAGAACCAGCAGAGGAAATGATCCAGGAAGTTTCTACAGTTTATTTCAGGTGCGATGGATCGAAGACAAAATAAAAGCAGAGTTACAGTCAAACATCATTTTCTGTTTTAAACTCCCAGAGAGATGAAGTGTGCATCATGTGTTTGGGGCCCCAAATGGAGCTCTGCCCTGGGCCTCAGAAAACCTCTGTCAGCTCAGGTTCTGGATTCAGGCCGGAATATTCTGGAACTGGATTTCTCTTTTCCTTTCCTGCCCTCCTCTCTCCTTCCAGGCGAATCTCCTCGACGTTTCCGGTGAATTTTCCTGCTCAGTCCGACGGTTCAGCGCTGAACATGTACGCTTCCAGGAACCGCAGCTTTGACCCCGATCTGCTGGAGGCGTCGTGTTCTCCAAACTTCCTACTTCTACTTTCACTGGAAGAGAATCTGTTTCTGTGAAAAGCTTTAAAATGGAAAGAGAAGAAATTCATGCAACAACTTACAAATGAAAAGTGAAGCTGCAGGTTCATTTTCCCTCAGATGACAGAAAAACGATAAACCGTTATGATGCAATTCAGTCATTTATAAATACTTTAAACTTGTCCAATGAACAGCTATAAACCTGCTAGCTTAGCATCATTAGCCAGCCACATGTTGAGCTCATCAGATACTTTAACATTTATAAATTCATTTTCTCATTAAATAAATCGACTTTTATAACAAGCTAAAAAATTATTGTTCATTTTTCACGGTAAAAATCATGTCAGCAATATTCCTGTTTAGAACCCGGAGAACCTTTAGAACCCAGAGAACCTTTAGAACCCAGAGAACCTTTAGAACCCAGAGAACCTTTAGAACCCGGTAAACCTTTAGAACCCGGTAAACCTTTAGAACCCGGTAAACCTTTAGAACCCGGAGAACCTTTAGAACCCAGAGAACCTTTAGAACCCGGTAAACCTTTAGAACCCGGTGGGCCTTTAGAACCTGGTGGGCCTTTAGAACCCGGAGAACCTTTAGAACCCGGAGAACCTTTAGAACCCGGAGAACCTTTAGAACCCAGAGAACCTTTAGAACCCGGTGGGCCTTTAGAACCCGGTGGGCCTTTAGAACCTGGTGGGCCTTTAGAACCCGGTGGGCCTTTAGAACCTGGTGGGCCTTTAGAACCCAGAGAACCTTTAGAACCCGGTGGACCTTTAGAACCCGGTAAACCTTTAGAACCCGGAGAACCTTTAGAACCCGGTGGGCCTTTAGAACCCGGTAAACCTTTAGAACCCGGTAAACCTTTAGAACCCGGAGAACCTTTAGAACCCGGAGAACCTTTAGAACCCGGTAAACCTTTAGAACCCGGTAAACCTTTAGAACCCGGAGAACCTTTAGAACCCAGAGAACCTTTAGAACCCGGTGGGCCTTTAGAACCCGGTAAACCTTTAGAACCCGGTAAACCTTTAGAACCCGGAGAACCTTTAGAACCCGGAGAACCTTTAGAACCCGGTAAACCTTTAGAACCCGGTAAACCTTTAGAACCCGGTAAACCTTTAGAACCCAGAGAACCTTTAGAACCCGGTGGGCCTTTAGAACCCGGTAAACCTTTAGAACCCGGTGGACCTTTAGAACCCAGTAAACCTTTAGAACCCGGTAAACCTTTAGAACCCGGTAAACCTTTAGAACCCAGAGAACCTTTAGAACCCGGTGGGCCTTTAGAACCCGGTAAACCTTTAGAACCCGGTGGACCTTTAGAACCCGGTGGACCTTTAGAACCCGGTAAACCTTTAGAACCCGGAGAACCTTTAGAACCCGGAGAACCTTTAGAACCCGGAGAACCTTTAGAACCCGGTGGACCTTTAGAACCTGGTGGACCTTTAGAACCCAGAGAACCTTTAGAACCCGGTGGACCTTTAGAACCCGGTGGACCTTTAGAACCCGGTGGACCTTTAGAACCCAGAGAACCTTTAGAACCCGGTGGACCTTTAGAACCCGGTGGACCTTTAGAACCCGGGCCTTTAGAACCCGGTGGACCTTTAGAACCCGGTGGACCTTTAGAACTCGGAGAACCTTTAGAACCCGGTGGACCTTTAGAACCCGGAGAACCTTTAGAACCCGGAGAACCTTTAGAACCCAGAGAACCTTTAGAACCCGGTGGGCCTTTAGAACCCGGTAAACCTTTAGAACCCGGAGAACCTTTAGAACCCGGAGAACCTTTAGAACCCGGAGAACCTTTAGAACCCGGTAAACCTTTAGAACCCGGTAAACCTTTAGAACCCGGAGAACCTTTAGAACCCAGAGAACCTTTAGAACCCGGTGGGCCTTTAGAACCCGGTAAACCTTTAGAACCCGGTAAACCTTTAGAACCCGGAGAACCTTTAGAACCCGGAGAACCTTTAGAACCCGGTAAACCTTTAGAACCCGGTAAACCTTTAGAACCCGGTAAACCTTTAGAACCCAGAGAACCTTTAGAACCCGGTGGGCCTTTAGAACCCGGTAAACCTTTAGAACCCGGTGGACCTTTAGAACCCAGTAAACCTTTAGAACCCGGTAAACCTTTAGAACCCGGTAAACCTTTAGAACCCAGAGAACCTTTAGAACCCGGTGGGCCTTTAGAACCCGGTAAACCTTTAGAACCCGGTGGACCTTTAGAACCCGGTGGACCTTTAGAACCCGGTAAACCTTTAGAACCCGGAGAACCTTTAGAACCCGGAGAACCTTTAGAACCCGGAGAACCTTTAGAACCCGGTGGACCTTTAGAACCTGGTGGACCTTTAGAACCCAGAGAACCTTTAGAACCCGGTGGACCTTTAGAACCCGGTGGACCTTTAGAACCCGGTGGACCTTTAGAACCCAGAGAACCTTTAGAACCCGGTGGACCTTTAGAACCCGGTGGACCTTTAGAACCCGGTGGGCCTTTAGAACCCGGTGGACCTTTAGAACCCGGTGGACCTTTAGAACTCGAGAACCTTTAGAACCCGGTGGACCTTTAGAACCCGGAGAACCTTTAGAACCCGGAGAACCTTTAGAACCCAGAGAACCTTTAGAACCCGGTGGGCCTTTAGAACCCGGTAAACCTTTAGAACCCGGAGAACCTTTAGAACCCGGAGAACCTTTAGAACCCGGAGAACCTTTAGAACCCGGTAAACCTTTAGAACCCGGTAAACCTTTAGAACCCGGTAAACCTTTAGAACCCAGAGAACCTTTAGAACCCGGTGGGCCTTTAGAACCCGGTAAACCTTTAGAACCCGGTGGACCTTTAGAACCCAGTAAACCTTTAGAACCCGGAGAACCTTTAGAACCCAGAGAACCTTTAGAACCCGGTGGGCCTTTAGAAACCCGGTAAACCTTTAGAAACCCGGAGAACCTTTAGAACCCGGTAAACCTTTAGAACCCGGTAAACCTTTAGAACCCGGTAAACCTTTAGAACCCAGAACCTTTAGAACCCGGTGGGCCTTTAGAACCCGGTAAACCTTTAGAAACCCGGTGGACCTTTAGAACCCAGTAAACCTTTAGAACCCGGAGAACCTTTAGAACCCAGAGAACCTTTAGAACCCGGGCCTTTAGAACCCGGTAAACCTTTAGAACCCGGAGAACCTTTAGAACCCGGAGAACCTTTAGAACCCGGAGAACCTTTAGAACCCGGTGGACCTTTAGAACCCGGTGGACCTTTAGAACCCGGAGAACCTTTAGAACCCGGAGAACCTTTAGAACCCGGAGAACCTTTAGAACCCGGTGGACCTTTAGAACCCGGTAAACCTTTAGAACCCGGTGGACCTTTAGAACCCGGAGAACCTTTAGAACCCGGAGAACCTTTAGAACCCGGAGAACCTTTAGAACCCGGTGGACCTTTAGAACCTGGTGGACCTTTAGAACCCAGAGAACCTTTAGAACCCGGTGGACCTTTAGAACCCGGTGGACCTTTAGAACCCGGTGGACCTTTAGAACCCAGAGAACCTTTAGAACCCGGTGGACCTTTAGAACCCGGTGGGCCTTTAGAACCCGGTGGACCTTTAGAACCCGGTGGACCTTTAGAACCCGGAGAACCTTTAGAACCCGGTGGACCTTTAGAACCCGGTGGACCTTTAGAACCCGGTAGCAGGTCCTGCTGCTTCCAAACTTCTGGACGTTGATCTCGTCTCCTCGTTTTTCCGAGTTTGTCCTGCAGGATCAGTTGTGCAGCAATATTGTGAGCAGAGCAGGAAGTTCCCAAAAACTCACGTAAAATGAAAACAGTATTTGGTCAAAAGTTGGTTCATCTGATGATGTCATCTTCAAATATTAAATGGTTGATAATTTGATCAGTTACTCAGTACTTATCTAACAGACAAAGTTAAATGGAAATTTTGGTATTTTAAGGACCAAAATGACAATGATTCATAGAAATAATAAATGAACCAAACGTAAAGAACATTTTTCCAAATCAGTTTCTTTCCATAAAACATTATAAAATGGAACAGAAGCTGCTCTGTTTTTCATTCAGTGGGAAGAAAATCCAGACATTTTACTCAAGTAAGAAATAATCATAATAAAATTACAAGTACAGTAGGAAATCTCCTAAAACATTTTTTTTCTAAAAATGTACTCAAGTAAATGTGACTGTGTTAATAAAAAGCCAAAATTTCCACTTACATTCATATTTTGCTCCTTCTGATGTATTTTTTATTGATAACTTGATCAGTTTCCTGTCTGTCGTCGTGACTAAACAATGAAACATGACGGCCTGTTTCTATTCATATGAATCTCTGACATTAAATGAATGTCAGACTTGACATGTCAGTGTTTGCTGAACTTCCTGTTTTCAGATTCAAATCGTGTTGAATCTTTATGTCTGTGTGTTGCGGAAAGTGCCTCCACTGTAAGTGATAACAGCTCAGTGATGTGTGTGAGCCGTCCTCCGGTCAGCAGGGGGGGCGCTGCGTGCTGGAAGAACCTGCATGTGGTGGGGAGGAGCGAGTGAGAGAGAGTGAGAGTGGAGACGACGATGGGAGCAGCGGCTAACAAAAAAACTCTGTACAGCTTTCAAGTGTTTGCTGGCGCTATTAAAGTTGACTTCCAAGCACCCCTGTGCCACCTTGTGGTTCATGTTCGAGGCGTATGAGGGAGTTAACCCCGAAGTAACTTCGCTTCGGCCCTGGAGGAAAATCTCCCCTGTGTCTTCCGACTACGGTCAGGAGTCTGAGCAGGAACGGTTAACATCTGGATGAAATCCTTCTGCTCTTTCTCTCGTTTTCTTTTCATTTTAAAGCCAGAGAGCAGAGACACCTCGACCTGCTGAGGTCAAAGTGTAGAAGAAGAGCTGCTGCTCTGTGTGGCTCAGTACTGCCCCCTGCCTGTCAGGCCGGGACGCTTGTTTTTTTTACTGCGCATTAATTCAAAGTATTAAACAGACAGTGGAAGGTTAGCAAAAATGTGAAATATCCGTCATAAACATGAATATTTGGCGATATTAAGAGAATAGCAACTGGCATACGCAAACTCATCAGTTTTGTGTGACACAGCGCCGCCAGAGGTCAGGCACAGTACTGCACCACCTTATTGATTCCAACAAGCGAAATTAATATTTTAGCAAAAAAATTTTGATTTTACCAATAAACCAACAAACTTAAATCAAGTGAATAAAAACAGCTGAAAGTCAGAGTTGATCTGAATCAATCCTTTATTAATAATAAGTGAATATTGATGAATATTGATCATTTTGTTGATGGCATTTGACAAAATGTAATGTTTCTGGCTTGTTCCATAGTTCATGTTGTTATGATGTGAGGAACTTTGAGCTGAATTGTAAACATACTCATTTTTACATGCAGAACCTGGAAAATGAACCTCAGCTGTTTCTGGATCCTCTGTGGTTCCAGTTTGTGAAGAAATGCAGTGAATGTCTCTGAAGGCTCCTGCTGTGACGTCACTTCCTGTGAGAGACGTCCGGTTCGGCTCGGTTCGGCTCTGCAGGTCCGGACTCGGTCGCTGCTCACTTCCTCATGTTTGGTTGGGAAATGTTATCTTCTCTGGAAAAAGTTTCATCATGTTCAAGTTCCGGTTCGTCAGAACCCAACAGAACCCAACAGAACCGAACTGTTTCTGTGAAGTTTCTCCTCCAATCAAATAACAGCAAAAGCAGAAAATCTGAAATAAATCATCTTTACGCAGAAATAAATCTGAAACCTGAAGTTTTTCTGCTTCTCATTTCTGATCCTTTTCTCATTTTAAGATTATTGAGGCATAAAATATGTCTTCATGTTTCAAAATAAATAAAAATAAATAAATTTAGTCAAAAGGCTTTCAGTGCAGAGAAATGACTGTTTTATTCATTTTACTTTCAAATATATTTTTAGATCTTGTAACTGAAATTTAGACCATAAATCATTTTAAATAAAGCCTTTTATAAAAATTAATTAGCTCAGATATTAATCTGAATGTTTCTCATTTAGAAAAAAATCACTGTTTAAAATTAATGCTTACATTTCTATTTTATAGTTTCTTTTTAAATCAATTAGGAAATATAATAATATGAACATGTTGAAGTCATGAGTTTGTTGCTAAATGCATTTTTATTTTCAGGTTTCATGTTCTGAATAATTTTCCTCTAATATTCAGATCAAACTTTGGGTTAAAAATGACAATGACAAGTTTAATAATCCATGTTTTAATGTAAAAAAGTATCAAAAACAGAATATAACAAAAGGGAAGGCGCAGCGTCGTACCTGAAACTGAACGACGTTAAACTGAGGAGGAATAATCATGAAAACACGAAAAACACTGACGATGTTACAAACATCGTCACACAAACATAACCTGTCCTCATATTCATAACTCCAGATAATTAGTGAAAGTAAGGAAATTATTTCAAGTTCAAATCTATTTTTTTCTGAATAAAACTTTCCTGTAAGAATCAAACCTGATGAAAAGGTCAAAGTGCAGAAAATGAAAGTCAGGCAGCAGATTATTACAAAATAAGGTTTAAAACCTATACTGGATAAATAAATATATTCACAAAATAAACATTTGATCCGTCAGGATGAGAGGCGTCTGTTGTTTACATGCAGCTAAAAACCAGAGAATAAAAAAACACTTGAATTCGAGCAGCTTCATCTTTATGGGTAATAACTTTAGAGGTTTGTGTTGCAAAAAATGTAGCAGATTAAATTTTGTTCATTTAAGGAACAGCAGTGAGTCGTCTGCGTAGTGAAATATTCCTCTGCATGCAAACAGATTTTACTGGACATAACTTTTCCTTTCTCATCAGCAAACATCCTGATTTATGTTTCAGAGGTTTATTCTCAAAACAAAAAGTACAAAGTCTACAGCCAGTGCAGCTCCTGAGCGTCAAATAGCAGCAGTGACATCAGATCAACAGGACAAACAGTGTCGCTTCAACGTCACATCATCTCTGCTCCTCTAATAAATAATCTTTATACATTTACACAACATGTGGGAGACCCGCAGGGGGCGCCGACCCGCAGGGGGCGCCGACCCGCAGGGGGCGCCGACCCGCAGGGGGCGCCGACCCGCAGGGGGCGCCGACCCGCAGGGGGCGCCGACCCGCAGGGGGCGCCGACCGCCCGCCTCCAAATCACTGGTACAAAACTCAGACAATAAAAACTAACGTTAGTTTGGTTTCAGTGCTTCGTGTCGGTTCAAAGCGTCAAACGTCAAAAGAACCATAAAGTGTAACGGTGAAGCCGCCCAACCGGCCGAAAGGTCAGAGTTCACTTCCTGCCGCAGGAAGCCGGCCGCTATCATAGGTGACCCGAACACCGGATGTCGTCCAGCGTCAGCGCGCCGCCGTCCAGCGGCGCCGCGGCGGAGGGAGACGCGGTGAGGCTGTGGAGCTGGAAGGCGCCGTCCTTGATGTGCTGGGTGAAGAGGTCGCGCTCGTCGTCGGGCGTCTGGCCGTTCTGAGCGCGGACGATGCAGGTGGGCCGGTGCAGGTTGAGCATGTAGACCAGCTGCTGCTTCTGCTGCTTCAGCTCCTCGATCTGCTGCTTCAGCTCCGCGTTGACGCTCTCCAGCTTCTCTGACTCCTGCAGCGAGGAGGCAACCGGCAATCAGTTATCGATCAACGAACCCAATCGATCGAACTGGGACCAAAACGATTCATCAATTATGGAACAACTAGTTTATTAACGGTTAACTGGACTAAACCAGCACAGACATCCTGGCAGTTTAATGACGCTGAAACTGAACAAAATCATTTTGATTTACAGATAAAATCATTTGACTGGAAATTTATTCTGCAGATTTTTTGGATTATTTGCTGCAAATGATCAAACTGATGCTGCTGGAGACTTTCAGGTAACAAAATGTTTATCTTCTCACTAAAAGAGAAATTAAATCCATACTAGCCAGTTTGCACTAGTTGATCCGTTGCTGCTGAGCGGCTAACGCTGAGGCTAACGCTGAGCGGCTAATGCTGAGCGGCTAACGCTGAGCGCTAACGCTGAGCGGCTAATGCTGAGCGGTTAACGCGTGTTAACCAATCAATGTGAACAAATCCATTCATTCCATGATACTCGGCCTCAGGAAACCTGTCGGGAAACCTCTTCCTTCCGTGTTCAACACCTCAACCTCTTGGTTCATTTACTGTAGCTTACAGCCCCATCTAGTGGCCCAAAACCAAAATACATGTATTTGGTTCCAATAAAATTGTTTATTTGCATCTTTTCATTCATTCCTCATGCTGTATGAAAATGGCTTAAATCAAAAATCTGCCAAAAGTTCTAAATTTGCATTTGATTAATCGATTAATTGATTAATCGATTAATCGTAAGTTGCAGTTTGGACTTTACCTTCTGCAGAGACTCGGTTTTCTCCTTCTTCTTGTTGCGACATTTCGCAGCAGCGATCTTGTTCCTCTCTCTCCTTCTCTTCCTCCTCTCGTGCTCCTCGGTCGTCAGCTGAAGGACAGAAACGCCGTTAGCCATCAGGACCGCGGCGGCAGCAGAGGCGGCGCCGCGCCGCGTTGAACTCACCTCTCTCTTGAGGCCGGCGCGGCCCGACGGCGGCTCTGAGGCCCGGTCCGACCCGGAGCTGGAGCCGTCCGAGCCGATGTCGGCGCTCAGCCCGTTGGACCGCCGCTTGGCCTGGATGGCCGTCCGCAGCTCGTCCTTCACGATGGGCGAGAAGCCGGTGAAGTCGTCCAGGGTGAGCGAGCCGGGCGGCGAGAGGCAGGGGACGAGGGCGGAGCAGCTGATGTCGGCCAGAGAGAGACCCGAATGCTGCAGCATCATCCTGAGGAACCACAGGAACCGGGTCAGAACAGCACTAAACAAACCCAAACTCAGGCTCCTCCCCCCTGCAAAAACAACCAATCACAGCCAGGAGGCGGGACTTAACGCTCTCAATCACAACCTTGTGTGGCGCTGCCAAATTATAGCATGTTGTGAATGCTAGGCTAGTTAGCATAGCCACTGGTTTGCTGTTACTTCTCCACAACTAGCACATTGCAGCACATACATGTTGATTGACAGCGCTAAGCCCCGCCTCCGGGCTCTGATCAGATGGTTTCAGACAGCAGTAACAGGTTCTGTCTCACATGAACTGGAGCAACAGGCTGAAAACAGTTCAGAAAAGTTACAAACTGCAGCTGGTTTCTGCTGAGTCATCGTGACTCGAGAGCAAAACGTAAACATCAAGCAAGTTACGCAAGAAAATCAGCTGGAAGGACGACAGTCCAGAAACTGTCCAGAGGAGGAAGCGGGAAACCGAGAGACGGAATCACTGACAGGAAGTTTATGACCAACAAGCAGCAGGAACATTTTACCATCTGCAGCATTAAATAATAACTATTTTCCATAGAAATATATTTAGTTCCATACATTTCTTCCTCATTATTTCTTTTAAGTGTTCATATTTTTGTTTTATCCACATAATTTAAATATTTAGCTAAAGTTAGTCTGGTCTGTTTTTGGATTATCTGTGACTTAAATAACAAAAACACCAATAAATAATAACTACAACAATAACAATAATAACATTAACAACAATAACAATAAATAACAATAACAACAGCTGTTTCTTTCAGCTTCATTTCAGCAACAGGTCGATCAGAAACGAAAGTCTGTGAAAAATAGAAACTAATAAACGTATAAATTTATTTATTCCGGATTACAAGCCGCGCAGCTTCAGCTTTCGGTTTGTCTGCGCGCCGGGAAGCGAATCGGACCCGAACCGGGATCCGAACGGGACCGGGAAGCCCGGTTCTCCTCCCGGGACAGAGCCTCCGTCAGCCCGCCTGGCCCACCGGAAGCACTCCCCCCTCTCCTTACCTGTTAAAGTTCCGAGGTTTCTGGTTCTGGTTCTGTTTGAGCTGGACTAAATGATCCCTTGCTCCTTTCCCGCAGCTCCTTGCGCTTCTACCGCTCCGGTTGCATCACCTGCTTATATAAGGCCGACAGGGGGCGGGGCCTGTGACGTCAGGCCTTACAGAGAGCGAGAGAGACGGGGAGGGAGGGGAGCGGGAGGGGGGGGCGGTGACATCATCCTATTTATAGGACAGTGATTGTGTGATGATGCAACGCAGCTGATCGGCCATAAGAGGAGCGGCTTCCCTCCTCCTCCTCCTCTTCCTCCTCCTTCCTCCTCCTTCCTCTTCTCCTCTTCCCTCTTCCTCCTCTCTTCCTCCTGCTTCCTCCTCCTCTACTCCTCTTCCTCCTCCTCTTCCTCCTCCTCTACTCCTCTTCCTCCTCCTCTCCTCCTCTTCCTCCTCCTCTTCCTCTTCCTCCTCCTCTCCTCCTCTTCCTCCTCCTCTTCTTCCTCCTCTTCCTCCTCCTCTACTCCTCTTCCTCCTCCTCTTCCTCCTCCTCTACTCCTCTTCCTCCTCCTCTTCCTCCTTCTCCTTCCCTCTGACATCATCTCTAATGTTAATTTTATACTTTTAATCTAATCTCAGACTTTAACAAGTAAATAAATAAACATGACTAGGATGGATGTTTGTACAGGTCAGCGTCTCCCCGTTGCCATGGTTTGTCATTCCCAGCATTCCCAGCATTCCCAGGAAGGATGAATGTTTCCTGAGTTTCCATCTGATTGGAAGGCAGCGATAAATGATCAATTAATTTATTCTCTGTGTGTTTTAATAAGAAAACCTGCAGATTGTAAATATTTTAGCTCAAAGTAATCAGATTACTCTGATGATTCTCCTGCTGGGACAGGAAGTCCTCCCAAACAGGAAGTCCTCCCAAACAGGAAGTCCTCCCAACAGGAAGTCCTCCCAAACAGGAAGTCCTCCCAAACAGGAAGTCCTCCCAAACAGGAAGTCCTCCCAACAGGAATCTGGATAATCTGAATAATCTGAATAATCTGAATAATCTGCGTTATCTTCTGTTGCGTCTCGTTGCGTTTCAGCGTCTCGGTTTGTCATCCTGAAACTTCCAGTTTCATCAGAAATGCAGCAAAAGTTTCCCCTCGTCTCAGAAAACATCTCCAGCTTCAGGAGTGATCCGTTGCCGGTTCTGGAGGTTCTGGAGGTTCTGGAGGTTCTGGTGCTGCTGGGTTTCCATGGAAACGGCATTGGGTCGTTCCCAGTGGTAAACATGTCATAAAAGCGGGATGTCGCAGCTCTGCTCCGGCGGCCATAAAGGTTAATGATCAGCCGGACAGCGTTCCCTGCTCTGCTGACACGTGTGTATTCCTGCAGGTCAAAGATCAGACAGGCAGGCTGACATGAACATGGCCGCTCACCGTTTCAGTTTCCACTGGACTTTATCTCTAATTAGGCACAAATATTATGTTTCTTAAGACTAAATCCACCTGATCAGCAGCTGGAGTCCAGAATCGGACAGCAGTGGTTCTGGTTCTGACCCAGAGGTCTGTTACATGGTGATGGCAGCATCATGCTGGGGAACATAGATGGTCACCCTCACAAAGATATTATGGGATAGTTAAAATCCCGGAGGTAGAATGGTCTAGTCAAAGACTCAAAGAGCTAACATTCCAGAGCTAACCATTCTAGAGCTAATCGTTTCAGAGCTAACCGTTCTAGAGCTAACCGTTCAAGAGCTAACTGTTCAAGAGCTAACCGTTCTAGAGCAAACCGTTCTAGAGCTAATCGTTTCAGAGCTAATCGTTCTAGAGGTAACCGTTCTAGAGCTAACCGTTCTAGAGCTAACCGTTCTAGAGCAAACCGTTCTAGAGCTAATCGTTTCAGAGCTAATCGTTCTAGAGGTAACCGTTCTAGAGCTAACCGTTCTAGAGCTAACCGTTCAAGAGCTAACTGTTCAAGAGCTAACCGTTCTAGAGCTAACCGTTCTAGAGCTAACCGTTCTAGAGGTAATCGTTTCAGAGCTAATCGTTTCAGAGCTAATCGTTCTAGAGGTAACCGTTCTAGAGCTAACCGTTCTAGAGCTAACCGTTCTAGAGCAAACCGTTCTAGAGCTAATCGTTTCAGAGCAAACCGTTCTAGAGCTAACCGTTCTAGAGGTAATTGTTTCAGAGCTAATCGTTTCAGAGCTAACCGTTCTAGAGCTAACCGTTCTAGAGCTAACCGTTCTAGAGCTAACCGTTCTAGAGCAAACCGTTCTAGAGCTAATCGTTTCAGAGCAAACCGTTCTAGAGCTAACCGTTCTAGAGGTAATTGTTTCAGAGCTAATCGTTTCAGAGCTAACCGTTCTAGAGCTAACCGTTCTAGAGCTAACCGTTCTAGAGCTAACCGTTCTAGAGCTAGCTAAGAGGAAAAAGAATAACAAAATATTTAGCTTCACATTTAATATTAGCAGAAAAATCTGCATGTGAAACATAAAGGATTAATGTGTATTCAATCAGTAATTTATGAGTTGGATTGTGGCACTTGTGGTCTTCCATACCCGGCAGGGAAACGGGTGGAAATGTCTGAACTTTTCTTTAAGCAGAAGATAAAAGGGAAAATGAGATGGAAACAAACATTAGAAGTTAATAAGTGAACAGAGGGAAGAAGGAAACCCAGAGGAATTCAGAGAATGTAGAAGAACAGCTTTCCTCCTAATCTGATGACATTTGACGGTTTGTTGCACCACCCCCACTTCCTGCTGCCCTGAAATAAAGCAGCAGCACTTCTGAAATATCTGGTTCTTTTCCTGACTCAGATCAGCTGCTCTAAGTAAAAGCGGGGTTCAGTTAAAGTCTGGCTTCCTGTCAGTCAACCCGCCACGGTCATCCTTTCTCCCTCGGTCCCGTCCGGCTCGGCCCGCCTTCGGGCCGCACAGGAAACCAGAACCGCTCCATCACTTTCATTATGAGGGACTAGCAGAAAGTTTCTCCTTCTGGGAAACCAGCGGCTCTCTGTGGAAGAGAAAGCGAAAGGTGGAGGATGTTTCACAGGATTTTAAAATAAACTAAAGTTTCCCTGAAAATACGGAAAATATGTCGGTCAGGATTTATTTATTTACATTATAGAAGATTTATAAAACATAAAGTAGAAAAAATGAGACGAAGGAGAAAAGGGAGCAAAAAAAATAAGAGGAGAGATTGAAGTAAAGAGGAGGGAAAGAAAAGAAACAACACTAAATAAAAACAAAGAAACAAAAACAAAACAGACAGAAAACTAAATAAAGAAGAAAAAGACAGAAATACATCAAGATTAAAGAACGTAGAGCGAGAGAAACGATTAGGACACAGAAGGATTGAAGGAAGTAAAGAAATGATCTGGGTTGTTTAGTTATTATTAGTTTATTTATTATTTTGTTCTCTTCCTTTAATCTGATCATTTTGTTTCTGTTCAGTCGTGATTCCAGTTTGTCTTTATTTCTTTTGTTTTGTTATTTCTCAATTTTTATCTTTTTATGTCATAATATTTTTAATGTTTGATTCATTTCTAATCCAGTTTCCCTCGTGTCACTTCCTCTCTCTCCTCACAGCTGCATACTGTTAACCAACCAGCCGCTAGCTAACCATCCAGTTAGCCAACCATTCACTTAGCCAGCCAGCCGCTAGCTAACCATCCAGTTAGCCAACCATTCACTTAGCCAGCCAGCCGCTAGCTAACCATCCAGTTAGCCAACCATTCACAGCCAGCCAGCCGCTAGCTAACCATCCAGTTAGCCAACCATTCACAGCCAGCCAGCCGCTAGCTAACCATCCAGTTAGCCAACCATTCACTTAGCCTACCAGCCACTAGCTAACCATCCAGTTAGCCAACCATCCAGTTAGCCAACCAGCCACTAGCTAACCATCCAGTTAGCCAACCATCCAGTTAGCCAACCAGCCACTAGCTAACCATCCAGTTAGCCAACCATCCAGTTAGCCAACCAGCCACTAGCTAACCATCCAGTTAGGCAACCATCCAGTTAGCCAACCATTCAGTTAGCTAACCAACCCATTAGTCAACCAACCAATTAGCATATAGGCCTGTTAGCTAACCACCCTGCTAGCCAATTAGCTCTTACCTAATCAACCTGTTAGCCTGAACGCTATCTGGTTCCCGCTGGATCAGAACCAGTCTACTGGGTATCTGGCTCCATGTTCCTTCCATCAGAATAATCCAGAATTTCTACCAACTCTAATCAGTCCCGCAGCATGATGCTACCTCCACCAGTTGTTGTTAATGTTTCACTTTCTTTCTGGCTTTTATTGTTGGTTTTATTTCATTGCTTTAACTTTATCAACTGCTGTTGTTGTTCATTGATAAATGTGACCTTTGACCCAGGGGTCAGATGAGCTGGGTAAAGATAGTTTGTAGCGGAGGCTTTCCTCCAGGCTGAATCCAGGTCGGATCCCGCCTCCACCCCGGTCCGGCCGGGAATCGGTCCGGCCGGGAATCGGTCCGGCGGGGAATTGGACCGGCCGGGAATCGGACCGGCCGGGAATCGGTCCGGCCGGGAATCGGTCCGGCCGCGTCCGCTGATGAGAGGAAAGCTGATGATGATGAGGGCGAGCCTTCCCGGTAACCCGGCAACGGGACGAACGGCTCCGCTTCCCGGAAAGGATGAAGGCGACGTCATCGGCTGCTGCAGGGAACGAGGCTGAGGAAGAGGAGGGGCGATGAAGATGGAATATTAAACAGCAGGAATAAAATGTCAGTTTATCCAATAAAAGATCAAATTTGACTAAAATCATTTCTGAGGAAACTATTATTTCCTCTAGATGAAACTTCTTATGTCTAAAATTCATGAGAGGAAATATTTATAAAATAAGCAAATTAAAGATGTGATTGTCATCAAACAAACATTTACAACCTTTGAAATAACAAATAAATAAATATAAACAGGTTTTTACCATAAATCTTTCTAAATAAAGGTGAAAACAAAGCTGTCAAAATATGGGAATATCATCAGTGGCAAAATTTGTTTTGATTTATTCATTTATTTATTATTTATAATCTGCTTAATAATAGGATGATTTGAATTAAAATTGTATTTTATTCACACTTTCTGTAAAAATTAGTTT